GTAGCTCGGTGTCAGATAGCTCATGGAATGTACACTTATCCCTTCCTATCCAGAGATTGGACTGCCAGCCTAGCCAGAACTTGAATAGACATACGAGTTTGCCTATCCGTATCTATCCCATGGAAAGCTAGGTTACATGTCCGATGCTGGAACGGTCAATCGTATCGACAATCTTGCGCTGCATAGAATATCCCCCCGGCCGACACTCACTCCATATAAGGCGCAAGCCAACAATTACATAATGTCCCAATATATACATGTAGTAGCTAAATATGGTATTCCCGCTACCGATGCCTGTCCGGCGACCGTCGCGTCGATTGTACCTACAACCGCCAAAGATTGTGCGCAATATATCGACCTTGGTCCATATTATAGCTCTGATGCTGGAGCATACCTGTAGTGTTCGAACGGTATGCCGGAGTCGACAGGCACGGACACGGCAGCGTAGAGATACTGCATGTCTTGATCGGTAAAGTATGGGTTGGCATCCGGATCCTGATATACGTCAGCGCACGTCTCCGAGAGAATGAATGAATACTTACATCGATGCGATGCATGAAAAGCTCGCAGAAGACGTGCTTACATCCGACGTCTGACTTCTGCGAGAAAGGACTGACTGGTTCGAGCTGCGAAATCGCGCTCGCCTTCAGCCACAAGTCACCTGGCCCACGCTCGGGGTGGGGTGGGGGGCGGGTTTTCTAGGTGGACGCTGTGGGGGAAGCTGGGATGAGGAGGTCGGAAGCTGTTGGTCTTCGGCATTTCTGCTGATATCGTGGCGGACTTGCAAGGGGTTGGGAGTCATCTTGATGCAAGTCTGTCACCCTAGATATATGTACAGGTGTTACCTAGCTAGTCGATGGCTAAGTCAGTGAGGTTGCATATTTAACATGAGATAGAAAGCGTAGCCAACGCACGGCGAGGATACAACATATCGGAGATATCCGGACCGTAGATAGAAATGAACAGATCAACTAGTCTGAGTATCTTAAGGATGGATTGCAATGCTCAACTGGCGCAGTTTCCCGACCGGTATCCAAAGTATCTTATACAGGACAGTCTACTGGATAATGAAACTAGATCTAATATCTTAGGGGTCTTGACCGGTGGATAATCTGCAGGAAACGCAGTGATTTGCGTTGGCATATATTTTGCTCGCCTTGATGTAAATATCGTTAGAATCGTCCGACAATAGCACACGCCACATGTAGGGCAATGCATACAGCAAAGGTGTACGAAGGTGTACTATAACTAGATCTTCGACGTCCCTCTGCGCCTGCACTGGCGTCCGTGAGATTACTCATTAGCCTTTCTCCACCAAGTACTCTCGATCTTGTGCAGTACAGTTTTCACCCTATATGGGGGAGTTGAACAACTCCCAGCGTACATACAGCCAAGTCAATGTTAATAGCTGAGTGCCAGGTGCAGCTGGCTACCATCAGGACTGGCAAATTCTCCCCGTAGCTCTATCAAGCTCAGCATTCAAAGTTGAGCCAAGGCCCTGTGAGCGTCCGGTTCACTAGACCGAGGAACGTGCTTTCGGGGCCGTGTGGCTGCCGAGACGGCTGAAAGAGAGTACAAGTAAAAGAGGCACCTGGAGTGCACTCTTTATTTTCTATCTTGATCTATTCATCCCGTAGAATCGCTAGACGCTAGAGGTATAAAAGAGCTTGTACAAGTCGTTGTACTAGAGAGCTCGCTCAATCTCACAACTTTACACCTATCTTGTCTTGGGCGTCTACTCTCCGTGTGCCGACACCGCGACTTCAGTCACGCTATCGTCACAGCCCTTTCATCCCGTTTCGGATAGAGTGGGGCGTGAGAATTTAAGAGATTCCGAAGCTTCTTCCGGGCATCCCTCGAATCGGACCGTCACCGAGCGAGTATTCCTACGTCCAAATACCGAGTGCACTTGCAGTTCTTATCAAATTCAGTTATTGTAAAATGGGCGACGACAAGTAGCCATGTCATCATACGAAAATGCTTGCGGAGTTTTCATAAATGGATTGACTGCCATACGCGACGACTGCAACCGAAAATATCCGTTTTGAGTGCAACCCGCGGCGTGGACTCGTCTCAGACACACCTACTAGCTTTGTTCTGGTTGCATCGACCCATCGACTAGGGAATCTGTAATGGCTCGAGATATAATGTCTTGGGAAAAGTCTCCAATGTTTGTAGCTGGACACGGACGCCAGGGCTAAAAACATGCCTAGCTTCTCCCTCCTCTCCCTCCCCAGCATCCAAATTCATCGCGAACCCCCAACAGCCAATGAGGCTCTAGGGAGATAGATGGAGCTGGCAGTTCGCAGAATCGCAAGGGCGGTGGTTCCGAAGGAGAACCTGGCACCTCCCCCTTCGCTCGACGCACGAAAGTACCACCCAGCCCAATGATCCTGGCATCTGCGCACTTAGCGCATGGAAGCATCAGCACTATTGCTAGAGGGAAGAACGCCTAGCTCGTAATGGGCGTTGACCCCTGCGAAGCGGGTGATAATACGGAAGTGTAGTGTGAGCGATGCTACCGCCGCTGTCGTCGTCCTATCTATGTAGTCTAATGTTTATTTCCCTTCTAATACTGGTTTGTTACCGTCCACTGCGGTCTTAGATCGTCTCGTCCGGCCCTTTTCCCATCTGTTACGCAAACTCGTATGGTACTTGGCTTCCGCCTCTTCATTTGTAATGTCTAGGAAACGACATTCTTATCGGTTTTCCTGCTGCGCTCTATACTTGACATTTTCCCCATGTCCATCTCATGGCTCACAGGCGCCCCTTCGAATGCTGTGAACGGGGATACAGTTTCCTCATCACCCAATTCCCGTCTGATTGCTCTCATTCGTCGTGCGCATACATTAGTCTTACACAATTCACGCTACCTCCTCGCACCATAGGCTTTGACGCGACACCGAGTCTTCTCCTCAGTCTACTGTGGCCGTATTCCGAAGAGCGCCAGTAATTCTTCCAGTGTCATCTTCTGACTCTTGATCCTCTCGCCGCTAAGAGCGGCTACAGCGACGGCGCGCTTCTTGGCCTGTAGCTGGAACTCCAGTAAGGAGCGGCGCCATATTCAATGTCAGAGTACAAGCTCACCTCAAGGATTCGACCTTCTATAGTGTTTTCCGTCGTCAACTTGTAGACCGTAACAGGTCTTTCTTGACCCAGCCTGTGAACACGGTCGAATGCTTGGTCCTAAACGCTTGTTGAGTGATTGCGCATGAAGCAATCCCTAAAGACTCACTTCAGAGGCGGGGTTCCACCAAGGGTCAGTGAGAATCACGTTGTTGCACATCGTCAGATTCAAGCCTTCCGACGTTGTCTAGATCAATGCCTTATACCATCAGTAGAAGCCTGAAACAACCCACCGACTCCGCCGGCCTTGAGCGACACTAGCGCTACGGTTACGCTCGTGTCCCGCTCAAGAGTGTCCAGTACTTTATCTCGCTGTGATATCTTCAGGCCTCCGTCGTCTACGAGCACCTCAGTCTCATGGGGGACGTAGACGGAACTGAACCTTACAGCGGACAAACTTCATACCATCCTTGGCCAGGAATTCGCCGATCAGGTCTAGCATGCCAGTCCACTGCGAATAGACTATTGTCTTGTCTTCGCCGCCCGACTGCTTGTGGATTCCCCATAGTATCTTGAGTATCTCTCGAACCTTGGCGGAGTCCGAGCCGGGCGGAAAGTGTAGTGCTGTAGGCATCCGCGCGCCCCGAGCCTTGGAGCTTGCTCGGGCGCTTGTGTGATCATAAGCCACTGGAGGAATGGGGGAGTAATGCATATAGGCGAGCTTACCCGGAGGGCAGAATAGGTCTTTGCCAGCGGTGTGGCAATACTGTGAACTCGGCCGAATCAACTTCGTTTTTCGCATCCTTAACATTGGTCTCCGTCTCATCCTCGTCTGGCCTATGGAAGAGCCGAGGATGGTCGCATGCTAGCGTAGTCATCAGCTGCAGCCAGACCCACGTAGACATCATCGTACCTTGTCTCAATCGCAAGAGCCAGGTCAACACGTTAATATACCGTGACTGCACCTCGCCGATCTCCACGAGCTCCCAGACTTGATTGACGATCCATTCTTCCACAACTCGGTAGAACTCCCGTTCCTCTTTAGTGAAGCGGCAGAGGACGAGATGCACGTTGCGGGGCGGGAGTTTGACTATGACAGTTCCGTTGAGCATAGTGTCCTTCCTTCTGCGCATGAGGACCCCGTTGAGGACGACCTAGATGATTCCCAGTAATTTTTTGTTACGCTGCTGGCAGCGAGGACCGAATGCTCACATGTAGCCTCTTCATGGCGGTAATGTCAATCCCCCTCTTGACGGGGTTTGCAATCCTCTCATTGAAGATATCCCAATCATTCAACGGACGGACGTCGATAAAATTTAAGAGCGGATAAAGATCTTCCACCTTATTCTGTCTGCCAAATGATCAGGCCCCTTTGTGAAGCAATCAAATCACGCTACATACATGGGAGTACCGGTCAAGCACCACTTGTACTTCCCCATGAGCTCCCAACACGCTTCGGCGCCCGCAGTTTTGCGATTTCTGATCTCGTGCGCCTCGTCTTGAGACACACAATCTTCCAGCTTACATCAACTAACTTTGGGAGGAATGACGTACCGAGAATAATTCTGAGCCAGGGAACGTTGAACAAGGCACTCCTCAATTCCCCCGCTTCGTACGCATTGTACTCGCTTTTGACTATACCATATGTCGTAATCACAATGTCAGCGTTCGTTAATATTCTCGGCTCTGTTGGAATATAGTGTCAGTGCCGAGTATAGAGCCCATGAACTGCTACCGCACCGGATGTTCTCTTGCTATCATGATGGTTCAGGACTCGGAGACCGGGCGCAAACTTTGCGGATTCTCGAGCCCACTGTCGTATCAGGGCAGCGGGACACACAATTCTGATGGGAGGTATTATTAGGAGCTCTGACTAGTCACGAAGGAAAGTTACGCGTACAGAGTGGCACCGGACCATCCCTCCTTACGGTCGCTAGTGGTTGCACGACCTTCAACAACCCTTACCAAAGCCTGCACGGTCTTTCCGAGACTGTCAAGTATCTCCGTCAGCCGAATCTTAGCCCTGACCACTGACCAAACGGAATTACCCCATGTCATCCGCAACTATGCCACCTCGTCTGTTCTCTCTCTCTCGATGGGCCATCCATTGCCTTGCAATGGTTTGATGTGGGAGAAGCTTGACGTGCGGCGCAAAACCAGGCACTGTCTCCAGTTCTTTCAATACTTTATACTCATCGTGGTGCGTGATCACGTCCGGGAGGAGTGCTTTCGGGTCGTCGGCAAGTATCGACAGGTTATCTGCGAGGGTACTCTCCCTGTCCGCGGTATTGTTATCTGATACAGGAGGCTTCTCGATAGGAACGACCTTAAGCTTGGGTATCTTCGGTTTTCCATGACGCACCGGTGGAGATTCCACGACGGACACAATGGGCTTGTTCCTAAACCCAAACCCCGTCGGCAAGGTGGAATTGTGGCATATGAACAGACGCGTATTATTATACTTACGCAATCCAAGGTGGCTTCATGTCTTCTCCATCTATGACCCGGAAAGATTTCCTGGGTTTCGGAGGTACGGTATCTGCAGGTTCCTGCTTGACGTCCCTACGGCTCGTTAGTAAAGTAGCATGAGCAGGCGAGCGAAGATACCGACTGGAGCCAGGGTGGTCTCATGTCCACTCCATCGAGGAACCGGAAGGACTTTCTCGGTTTCTGCTGCATAGTCGTCGAAGGCATTGTCTGGACAGGCAACTTGATACAACAGGCGCGTGCTTCAATACGCTAATTTGGGCACCTTCACTTTGCGGGTAGTCCAGGCGTCACGCCGGACCTGACGCCACTCCTGGATCGCGAGAGAATGATGTTCAAGCTTGTTACTGGAGGGTACAGTCGCAAACGAGGGGCGGGTTCCGCATACAAAGGCTTATAATTATAGCCTGGGGAAGCCCGAGGCTGTCCAGGGATATATATGCGTGACATCCTAGAGATATCGTTTACACTCAGCGGCGTTGTCAAGAAGGAACAATGGAGTCATATAGACCACAATTACTACTCACGCGGCTCCGTAGTGGATTGTGGGAGAACAAAGCAAAGATCAAGTGAGTGGGTATGCAATCGACCTTAGACCGTTACCGTCAAGTGATTGCTCCTAGTATTATTAGGAATCCTCTTCTTGCAGCGCCTTTCAAGTTGTTCCTGCTGAACCTAACGGAACCAAATCCGCGTGGCAATCCACGTGCGTGAGTGATCCGTGAGCCACATTCGAGCCGTTTGAGCCACAGAAGCAAGTCGGCATTCGTGAGCTTCAGAATCAAAAGCATTTTCTACGTTTGTGGGTGGGTTGGTTTATGTCTGACATTCTGCTCAGGGAGAGCAGGCCTTGTCCGCGGTACATAAAATCGATACCGTGCTGGCATTATCTACGAGTCACTCCGTGAAGATATTGACGATTCTAGTAATTCCGAGTCTCGAATTCTACATCAGGTCCATAAACATCAGACGCATGCTAAGAGGCGTGATGCTGTCTCTCTAGGGATGTCAATTCCGGCAGGCATTATGCGAGACAAACGTCTGACCTCTCCGTTCAGTAAGTCACGGCAAGGTTCTCCTTTCATCTCCTTGATATAATCTTGCATAGTCTTCCACTTCCAATTCTTCTGTCCTGGGTTTACGAGATCGTTGTCGTTCTTCTCCCAGTTCATCTTGCCCTCGCCAATCAGGATGCTGGTCGCAAGAGTCAGAGGCTATCGTCGTGACACGCGGAGAACACCCGCCGGATATGCGACGCCGGATTATCCAGTTTGCCTTTCTCCATGTCCTTCTTCGTAAGCTCCTTAAACTCGCCGAGATCAATCTCCTTGATCTCTATCTTCTTCCCGCTCTCTTTCATTACTGCGTTGGCAATGTCTTCCACACTCGCGAGGCTCCCTGCCAGGTGGACCTCGTCGGGCACTGCGCCATTTGTGGAGGACATGCACAACAGAGAGAGGTAAACAAGGCTCCGCCCTATGTCAGCCTTCGAGGTAAGGGCAAACGGTACGGCTTTGGGCCCGATACAGGTGTATATGCCTCCTTCGGTATCGAAGCCGACTGTGAGGTGCACTTAGTTCAGACGGAGGGCAGCAAGCGGTGCTTACGCACACCACGGCTAAGGTGAGCATATACCCCAATCCGAGTGCTATAAGATTCCTGTAGAACGCGACAGGAAAGGGAACGTACCCCAATGGTATCTTCGAGCAGCATTCCGTTGTAAACGGAGATAATTCTCAATTTATCTTTGGCATATTCCCGCGCGTAAGACATATGCTTCTTCTTATGCACCCATTCCTCGTGTTCAAAGCCCGGGAAGTCGTTCTTCCAATGGTCTCTGAGGCGACGCGAATGTGAGCATGCAAGGTGGATTCCCATAAAGACGACTTACCCTCCAAATTCACTCGGAAAGTACGCCTTCACTCCAGCCTGGACAGCAGCTCGTACGAGCTTATTCGCGGCGTCAGCGTCGTTGATCCCCAAGGAACTGACGACAATATCTGCCGCCACCCCTTGCAGTGTCTCGACAATATCGCTTTCGGAAGAGTGCGGAGAGGCGATGTCTACTTTGCGGAGAACTGCTCCTTTCGCTGCGAGTGCCTTGGACTTCTCTGATTTCGGGTCGCGGGTGAAGCAGACAACTGAAGAGAAGAAGGGCTTGTACTTCTTGTCGAGGAATGTTTCGGATACCGTCATCCCTGCGACGTGATTTAGCCCTCTTCCTGAATTTGAGCGTATACAATATGCACGCACCTAGTTGGCCCGTCGCACCAGCGATAGCGACAACGTACTGGCCCCGCCCCAGATGCGCAGACATAGGCAGTGACATGGCGGCCGGAGGGGAAAGAGATGTCGTCGAGCGAACACAGGAGGGTCTTATATACCATGGTCTGTAATTAGCCCTAGCAGTAGTCCGACTACTGATGTAATGGCGCTGGTATCGTCACGAAGAAGCAGAGAGTGTGATCGAGGCTGTTGAAGTACGAAGGTGACGAAACAAGAATGGGGTACTCCTTTTCCGGACGAAAGGTTAGGGTTCTCCGTGCCACAGTGACAAAGATGCTAATAGCTGCCTGTCTGGACAAGGGAAAACAGGATCACGAATAAATAATGAGAGCATCTTTCTCGTAAATATGGTTGACGATTCTAATGCTACAACGAGACAGATAAACCTATTGATACAACAGAGTTCTGAATGTTTCTACCTCGCAAAGTCAGCGGCAGGCCAACAGTGAGGGAGGAGGGGATAGACAAGGCGATCAAGTACGGAACGTGGTGTTGGCAGATGGGAAAACGGCAGCACACTCATTCCTCTCTGAACCGTGTCCTCCCTCGTTCAAGTTCTGCCTCCCCAGCTTGAAGGTGTCCGAGTCCCAGCGTCTGCAGCCACTTCAAAGACACCCTTCGTCTCTTCGCCGGGGTCTCATCCCCCTCCAATCTCTCTTCCCTCCCTTCCCTTTGCTCATCTGGATCCCTTGTCCGCTTCCCCAGCACCATTGCGGTGAAGCTGTTGTTCGGTGCCTCTGCCCACACGAGCCGATACGGGTATGGCCCGCCCTCCCTCTTCAAATAATCCTCATAGGACAATAAGTCCCATTTATCCCACCTCCGCCGCTCGACTTCGAGATCAATTAGCCCGGAGTCGACGAGCCGCCACATGAGCTTGCCAGGGAGCCCGATGGTTGGAGTGCGGATTTGCAGGGGATGTCCCTCTCTTACCCGCTGCTTGTCGTGCATGTAGGAGTGGTATTGGAGGACGTCGTCCTTCGCGAACCACGTTTCGGGAGAGCGGCGGTGGTCCTCGTACGCGAAGTCGCGGACCTTGGCGCCGTGTTGCTCGAACAGTTCTGAGGGCGTCAGAGGCGGTGCCTCGCGACGTGCACTGGGCTTCGTAGGTTGCAGGACTCTGAATTCAGACGACCCTTTCGATGCCGAAGGGGAAGCGGCGGCAGTCTGGTGGTCTTGATGTGGCGTAGTCATCACCTTGCGCCGTTTGAGCGGCGATCCGCCTTCGTAGGCGGGCGATATGGAAGGCTGGAAGTTGACTTACTTAGATTAGTACACGTTTTGAGAAAGGCTCGAGGGAAACGTTGGACGCACGATATCTTGTGAGTTTCTAGCGGGCTCGGTAGGTGTGGATGGCGGCCGATCGCTCGTACCGTTCGTCGATCTCTAAGAGCACACGTCAGCGCCATGAAACCACATGCACCATGCCGCTCACAGATGCTTGCACGCGCGCATCCCTGGCGTCTTCATCCCGAGCCTCACTATCCGCCCGTGCTCTCTTCCGTGACGGCGAGGGCTCGGGCGCATCCACGTCCATAGGCCCATCCTCCCTCGCTTTGCCCTTCCCCTTCCTATCTACCGTCACACTTCTCTCGTACGCGAAATCGCGTATCTTGATTCCTAGGGACTTCACCCGCTCGACCCATTCGTCCGGGGTCGGAGCGTTGGGGTCGTACCCGAGGGGCTCCGTGTCCGCCTCGGAGTGCGCGTCTTCGTTCTCGTCTTGGTCTCCGGGGGAACTCGGAGTGTGACTGACCACGTAGGGGAGTCGGGTTGTGATGTGGTTTGAGGGCCTGCCCGACGATGCTGGGGGTAATGGTGGTAGCAGAAGGGACCGCGTGGTCCGGATAAGCTCGCGGCCTGGTGGCTACACGAAGAAAGGTCAGCACAGAGGAAGCAGTAAAATGTGACGCATTCTGCGTACGATGGGCTGGCCGAATCGATTCCTTGCGGTCGCTGGCTCAGCGGGTGGTGTGTGCGACGAAGGACCAGCGAGTGCCGGGCCTTCGCTTCCAACCGACTTCATCTGGGGGCTGAGCGATTCAAATGTGGCGGTACGCTGGAGGCTTCTGGGTTTGTTGACGTTCGACATCTTGATTTGTGTATATGTTTCTGATGATGAAGGATTCTTAGGTTGCGGAGAGTCGCAGTAGAGACCCAACTGGCGAAGCTGTAAAGGAGGCCACAATGGCGAAGGCGAAGGGTGGTTGTAGTTGAAGTCCAAAACGGGGATTGTGGCAATGAACCGCGCCTCTTATAGGTTAGCCACAACAAAGGCCTTTCAAGTGGTGTGGCCAACGCGCAGCCTCTGTGGCGGATATCAGGCTATTGTCTTGCGCCCCTTTCACCACACGTTTCTTGAGACACCTTCGTTCGATGGGGCGTGTTGAAAGGAGGCATATGGTTGTAAACCACGTCGTCGTTCGAGACGACGTCGACAACAGGATGAGCGTGCACTTCGATTAAACATTTTGTGGGTCCCACATCGGGCCGGATATCTCCGGCGTCTATTTTAGGACTCACGATTTACTGTACCAACTGGTGTTGCCCTATAGCTATAGGACGAAGAGGGAGCAGGTTATAGTGTACAAGTTGGAGAATTAAATACATTGATCTTATAGATATTTACAGGAGCGAATTTATGGATTGCAGATACCAGTACGAACTGTAAAGAGACCGGGTGGAGATAAGTACCAGAGAATCACGTTTTCCTACGGGGCAAGGCTTTCCACCCCTTCCGTAAGCCCATCGCTTCTATTATGTGTGCAGGCATGCAATACACAGGATCGAGGTCGATTAACCCCGGATATCCCAGTAAGGATAGACCTGTGCTCATACATGTCAGTCGCGGAGGTTAACAAAAGGCGTGGACTTACCAGCAATGCCGAAATGAGTGTGGAAAACATCCACCATATCTCCCGGCCTATCAGCGATCCCTCCACCTTCGGAATCCTGCGTATATTCGCTTAAGCATACAGGATACGTATATGCAACAGAATAGAGTGAACTCACTTGGGCAGATAAGACGAAGGAAATCAGCTTGTCCGAGTCGATCCACGACAGCTTATCCAGTATAGACATCGCTGATAAGCACCAGAAACTGTAACAGACCTATGTTGTCCAGCCACATGCTCGTTAGTCCAAGTCTACGGAAATTCGCTGCAACTGACATCCTCAAGCTTTTCTGGCCTGCCATTCAGTCCGCCATTTGGAAGCTGGCGTTCTGCCAACCACCATCCCAATGTCTCGTGGTCCACCTCGTCCAGCCGATCTAATATCGCCAGTGCGGCGACGCACACGAACACTAGACAGCGACCGTTAAGCGTTCAGAAGGGCAACAAAACGGTTGTCTACCTTGACCCGCATGGGTCTCAGCGCCGATGCAGTTTCCGAAGCCTCCGTCATAGTTTCTGCACGCACGGATATATGAGACTGTCTTCTCCACGTCCAAGTCGGACAAGCAACCAAGGAGCGATAGCGAGTTGACAGCGCAGTAGGAAAATCGCGTGTCGATCTCGCCGAAAGAGTCGCCAGCAAAGACACCAGACGGTTGTTGGAGTGATAGAATAACTGGCATCACGGATGAGACCCAGTCTTGGAAGAGTCATAAACCGTTACTTGCACCTAGCAACTCTCGCTTTATCCACGCGATCTAGCGCGTCATGGGTGACTAGGATCTGGATGGCACTCGTAGTCGCGAGGAGATGGGCGTCATGGTCGGGATGGGCGCCAAAGCCTCCTATATTACAAAGGAGTAGAAGGGGCGTTCAGTGACTGAAACAGCACTATGAACGACAGAAGAACCAAACCTGCCTCGTCGTCCCAGCAGCTCATCACAAAGTCAATCATCTCCTCCCTGTCCAGAGCCTCTTTGTGTCCCATTATACATAACGCAGTCAGACCCCAGTAGATCGCGTTCATGCGCAGGTGCGCCGTCATATGGTATGTCAGGTCATCCTTGTTCTGGGGAGAGTCGGTTATAAACTATCGAGACTTCGAGGAAGAGCGTACATCTCCCAAGGACTTGATGTATGCGACATGCTTGTCCACATAGAGCTGCGTCTCTGAAGCGGCCATCGTACTGAGGTCACGGAGAGGATAAGCTTCGTTACCGGCGGCAAGTCAGCTGCGTCTGATGAATCCGAGTCCGATGAAGGTCGGTAAATTCCGATCCTTCGTCGTCGTGTGCGACGTCTTCGGCGACGTGAAGTCTTTATAAGCTCGCTCTCACTGGGACACATATACTACGATTCTTCGACACGATATGCAAGTCTCGGAAGAAATGCCCTTCAGAATCTTGGACTTGCCGCCGGAGCTCATCGTTCTCATCCTTCGCAGCCTGGACTGGAGGTCTATTCTCCAGTGTCTAGCCGTAAGCACACAGTTCGTACATATACTGCCGCTCATTACTCTGACAAGAAAGCTCTGGTAGACATGCAAGACCCTGCAAGGTCTCACTCAAACCGCAGAAGTCCGATATCAGTTAGAGCTCGCATACGATGGGCTCCTTCCCACCCCGTCATGGACTTCGGTGCCCTTCCACGCCGCGCTGGCTGCCCTTCGGACGCGTCGCGAGGCTTTCAGATATCTGCAATGGAAGAATACTGTCAATGTATCCATCCCAGGACCTTGCCAGGCGTATGAGCTGGTCGGCGGTGTCTTCGCAAAGAGTATGCCCGCGGGCGGCCTGATGCTCGCACCGGGCAGCAGGCACTTTTTGTTCAGTTGGCTGCCGACTTCGAAGGGGCCTGTGGAATTTCCTCGCGGCAGCCTGGACAATGGAGGTCATTGCTCAGATCCCGGTACATCTACTTCTCCTAGATCACCAGACATATGGGACTGAGTCCAGTACAGACTACCACCCGTCCACGTCGACTCTCGTCAGGCCTGACATCGGGATCGCCACCAGGGACTTCGCTATTGATCCTACTCAAGATTTGATCGCGTTGATCGAACATGATGATGGGTATGCTCGATTTAGCTCACGAACGCCCAGTTCCTTTGCTGATTTAGCCTTCCCATAGTCCCACTCTCACTTCCCCACATGCCTTGGTACAGATCCACTTGCGAACGATTTCGACTAACGAACCGCATCCGGAGACGACTTGCCCTATCTTCCGCCATGTCACGCCATTCAGAATTGGTGAGGGTCCGTTGCTTGTCTTTACTACACGCTCGAATGTCCTTCGTGGAAAGACATACTGACACGCCTTGGACCACATTTGACACTGAACAGGTAACGCATTCATTCAGATCGTGGACGACGTGGTAGGGTTGTTTTTCTGGGCCGAGGGGCCCGGGCTGCTCATCTGGAGTTGGAAAGACGGTCGTGTCTGCGTTGTAAGTCCTCCTTCGACTGCGATTCAACTTCCAATCAGAACTTAACCCTCACTTCTTCAGTATCAAACCGAACCGGAACTCTCGCCCTCAGCATGGGACTTCGCCTTCCTCTCGCCCCGCGCATACATGATGACATACACGGGTTCTCCCGGGTCCATCGAGGTCTTCACGTTCACCGTCGGCGATGAGATGCCCTCCGCCCCAGGTCCTGTTATCACAGATAATGCCGCTGGACTGAATAGCTACCATGTCAACGAAGGCTCGACATCAGCGGATACGAGAGGATCCGGGCCGCTTACAACCCCGACGCATATTGCACAGCTACAGCTGCCACCTCTACAGCCCACGGTACCCTTGGTGAATTTCTCCACCCATACAGGTCTGTCCTAGCCCAGTGGTTGCGATCACGCGTAACTCAAATCTCGCCGCAGGGCCGTATCTCGCCAACCCCCCGCGCACCAGCGTCCCCTTCTACACCGACACGTACAACCAGCGCATGCACGTCATGACGATGCGGTACCACGCCGATAATCGGGTCTTCCGGTATATCATGTACGTCAACAACAAGACGTTTTTGGATCTGGTGAAGAAGAGGAAAGAAGAGTGGGGTCCGACGGGAAAGAAAGTACTGAGCTGGTCGGAGTGGGGGCGCGAGGCGACCAGGATCACTGCAAGTTTATGGGAGTTCCATTGGTTGAGGTTAGTGGTTGTTTATTGCTGTGGGCACTAATCCCACTGTCTAACACTGTCCTTGCAGATACGTTTATGGAACACGAGTCGTCTGTCCGCCAGAACGGGTGCCTGACGGTAATCTACCCAATGCTGGCCTGGTCCAGCGAATCCGACTCCTCGACTTCAATGTCCGGGCATATCTCCCTCGACCGTCGTATCTTGACGGGGACGAACAACTAGGAGAAGCGGGTCCAGCTCCCAGGGTTTCATCCCAATCAGACTCTGATCCGAATGGTGTCTCGTCGCCTCCCGCTCCATATATTCCCGCTCCAACTCGCACTGTGGAGTCAGAAATGAACTCATACATTTCCGAGGAACCAGCTGAGCTCAACGGAGACGTGATCGAGACAAGCCTCAACCTGGAACCCTCGCAGGTCGTTTGCGACGCCGTCTTCAAGGACCCGGTGGAGACGACCCTGCCGTACCGCACGGTGACGCGGACGATGCGTGTGCCCCCAGGGGGTCTGGGGTCTGGTCATTGGGGATACAGCGGCTTTATGATCGATGAAGAGCGCTTGATAGGGCTCAAGGTGAGTTAGCTGGTCTCCGTTTCTCCAGCTGTCTCACGTGTGTTGATACTGACAGTCGACTGCCCTTTCGGAGGGTGATATGGGCGATGTCACGGTTTTTACGCTCTGAGCGAACCGCCTGTCCATTCCGGGAACTCGATGCTTCAAACTGTTATACTCGCGAGGATTCTATGGATATTCATCTTCTAAACCCCCCCCCCCCCCCGGAGGGAGTGAAATTGACCGTTGATGATTTTCTTCGGAAGTCGGACGCCACCAGCAATAGTGGTCGTTCTCCGCGAAACTGTTCATGTTTTTGATATTCGATATCCTTGGATGCGGCTGATATGGGTGGAATGCTGAAAGTCGCTCGATTGTAGCTAGTGCTGTCTTTATGTTCTTGTATGTTTATTATTGCGAATTGCATCGGGAGTGTTACGGCCCAATGCCATTGCCATTGCGCGCGGAAGCCATCACACAGCCAAGGTACTCGGCTAGATAACCGCTCGTGATTGACAACGCCACTCTTATCTTCGCGTCTCCCTTCCACCCATACTTATCATGGGACCCAGATTCCTGACAGTTTTGACGCTTCTTTCTTGCCCTCGTCGTCTGCGGGTAGCCTAGCAGCAGGCGGGCATCGTCGACAATCATGTCTGATACACACAGCAGCGAGAAGGATGCTAAGGTGCGTGCTCAGGCCAGAGCAGCACCGGTGGCAATGGAGAGCGACGAGGCGGAATTGGCGAGGATGGGATACAAGCAGGAATTAAAGTATGTGCAATGGTCTTTATTTTCATGTTATGTCAAGGCTGACCTGCAACGTAGACGGGACTTGAGTCTGGTCCAAGTCAGTGACAGTCCTCTGACGCTAAACAGACGAGGCTCACGTTAAGGAGAGTAGAACTTCGGTGTATCATTCTCGATCATTAGTATTATGACTGGTGTCCCGTCCTTGTTCTTGTATGGATTGGTGAGGATCATGCATTTTGATCTCAAGCTCGTCTACGGCCGCATACCCCCCGGATAGCTATGATCGCGTGCTTTCAGACCTTGCTGAGGAGTTTGACGGGACTCCCAAGTCTGAAACTGTCTACCGCAATGGACGTAGGGTCACTTGAACTCCCCAGCCAGGTCTGTGTAGCATGCCCATGTTTGTGGCCCAAGACGTGGGCAGCCGTGCCTCAACAAATGCAATCGTTCTCTGACTGTCTGACCTGACTTAACACCAGAACACAGGAGGACCTGGTCCCATGGTGTGGGGATGGATTGTTGTCGGTGAGCAGGTTGATTGTATGCACACGCTGACTTTAACAATGACACGGATACGACAGCTATTTTCACTATGACCGTCGGACTTGCTATGGCTGGTATGAAACGTCAATCAGTCAAATGTCAGAACATCTTCTGAGGCACACGTTCTCAGAGGTCTGCAGCGCCCATCCTACCAGTGGGGGCCCTTACTTCTGGGCAGCAATGCTTTCCCCACGCAAAGACGCCGCCTTCGCTTCGTGGATTACCGGCTGGTTCAACTTGCTCGGACAAGTAGCGGTGACAACAGGTATCAGGTATACTTTACATCGCCAATAATCATACCATTCCGCTCATGCCCCTTCCCCCCTGTAGTTTTGGATGTGCGACATTCATCTCCACCGCTTGCACCCTCGGCACCTCCTTCGTGCCCAATGAAAAGACCACAATTGGGATCTACGCCGCCGTCCTTGTCACGCAGGGGCTCATCAACACCTTCGGCGTGCACCTCCTCAAGTACCTCAATAACATCTCCGTGTGGTGGCACGCCGTGGGCACCGTCGCGGTCGTCATCGCCGTGCTCGCGGCCGCACCGACGCACCAGTCGGCAAAGTTCGTGTTTGCCACGTTCCTGGATGGAACGGGCGTGGACGGCGTGGGGTGGTCGCAGCGCGCGAGCCCGGCGTATGTCGCAATCATTGGAATTCTGATGGCGCAGTATACGTTGACTGGGTTTGATGCCAGCGCACACGTGAGTGGGCTACGGGAGTGATGATGCAGGCGCCAAATCTATCTTTCATCTAGATGACAGAAGAGACCCACAACGCGGCCATGTCTGGATCCATAGGAATTATCATGGCTATCGGCGTTTCCGCCGTGCTGGGGTGGTTCCTCATTCTCGGTCTGCTGTTTTCTATTCAGGATCTGGATGCTACGTTAGCCTCGCCTACGGGGGAACCCGTAACCCAAATCTTCCTGGACACGGTCGGGGAGAAGGGTGCGATTGTATTAATGGTGAGCATGCGCTGCTCTTCGCCCCTACTTCGGAGAGCTTACCTTGTTGCAGGTTATTGTTATCGGGTGCATGTATTTCTGCGGGTGAGTCCGTCTCTGGTAAGAAATGCAGCGGTCCCTAAATCCAGGTCTCATTGTAGAACCTTCTCTGTGACCTCGAATTCCCGGATGATGTACGCCTTCTCCCGCGACGGCGCCATTTCAAGGTTCTTCCACAAAGTGGATCCCAAGCGGAAGTCCCCGATTCGCACAGGTATCAAGCTTGTGTGTGGAATATGTATGAGAAGCCTGGTCTGACCTGGTCTCTTTAGTGTGGCTCGCGTGCACGCTCAGCTTCATCCTGGGCCTGCCTAGCTTGGGGAGCTCCGTGGCTTTCTCGGCCGCTACGAGTATCGCCACAATCGGTCTATACATCTCCTACGGTACGCAATCTCTCTCATATGCAGTAGCCCTCACATTAAGGGATGTCGATGACAGCCATCCCGATTGCCCTCAGGGTGATATACCGCAAGCAATTCGTCCGAGGGCCCTTCCATCTCGGCAGGTTCTCGTACCCCGTCGCCTGCACCGCGGTGGCGTGGATCGCCTTCATCTCGATCGTGTTCATTCTCCCGCAGGAGAACCCCGTGAACTCGGAGACGCTCAACTACGCCATTGTCGCAGTGGGCATCGTCTCTGCGTATAGCTTCGGATTCTGGATTATTAGTGCGAGGAAGTGGTTCACGGGCCCCGTTAAGCAGATTGCAGGTAAGAGAGATTAGTTAACCGGTTTGGTCAGGATTAGAGCTGACGATGGTAACGATGCGCAGCGGAGGAGATGGGGATCAGTGTTATGGAGCCGGGTGCTCTGGAGACGGCTGAGAAGGAATCATAGAAGGTAACTCATCCGTATTCTAGACTAGTATTTACACATGCAGCGTCTCCTGGAGCATACCCGTTATTGTGTCGTTTTCTGGCTGTTTCAAGACAGGCCCATACAACTCATTAATAGGTCATGTCGTACTTCCATTGTTTGAAACCCCCCGTTCATGGGCGGTAAATCATGGATGTTCGGAGGATCCGTGACTGAAAACGCGGTGTGTGCGGTCGCTGGTTGAAGTTCGGTTTCGGCGTTACTCCAGATCTGTTGCATGTGCACTTTGTTGAAGTTTGTTCTCCATCGCCTTCTTCCTCGAGGCTGACGCAAGGGGATAACACGCTCTATGCACTTCATAACTCAAGCGCATCCGCACATGGCCATTGGCGGATGGAACTGCTGTACAGTGCTCTATAGCTAACAACTATGGCGCCTCATATTAAGTGTATGAATTGTCGTGATGTCCGGATCTGTACCCAAGCGGACCCGGTACCCGATTATTGGCCCAATCGCGCACTCACGACAGCAGACCTCCGTCCCAACCCATTCCGTGCCGCCATTGGCATAGAACCCAAATAGAACCATCATGCCTTTGATTTGAATCAGGTGAGCCTTACTGCATTAGTGTAGTGCTCTATGATGACTCGGATAGGAGCGTTAGGAAACAATGTGACTCGTCTATCGTTGAATCCACTTTCTGGCTTGGACCAACAAGTTCGAACCTACTAACCCTTCACTAGTTAGACGGCACAGAATGTCCTTAACGACATCCCAGGAGAACCTGAATTTCTGCTTCCCCATCCGGGAGCTATCGAATGATCGTCTGAAGCTAACTCCTTTCATCGCACGTACCAGTTATCAATCTCGGTGGACAGTGGTCGTTACTGATCCAACCACTCTTGTAGCCATCGGTCCATGCCGCTGAGTTCGTGAAGGGCGCTGCGCCCTACCCAGAGATATGGGCACATCTCTCGCGAGGCCCCTTCATGTCAGAGCAGGAGTACACCTCAACCTTCGTCCAAGGCCTCGTCCAGCGCGACCCGGGTATGATCCTCCTCGCGGTCATCGACAAGACGCGCCCCGCGACGCCGGTCGACCCCGAGGGCGCGCTCGCCGGCGCCGTCACATACATGGGCACGAACCCGACGCACCTCTCGACGGAGATCGGCTGGGTGATCGTGCTGCCACCCTTCCAGCGCACGCACGTCACCTCGAACCTCGTCGGGCTGATGCTGCATTACGCGCTCGATCTACCCGCGGCTGGGGGGCTCGGGCTGAGAAGGGTGCAATGGACGACGAGCACGATGAATACAGCGAGCCAGCGCACGGCGGAGAGGCTCGGGTTCCGGAAGGAGGGCGTGCTGAGGTGGGCGCAGAGGTTCGAGGACGGACGGAGGAGGGGGAAGGTGGGGAATGGGAAGGAGCAGCCGCGGGGGAGGGGCGGGGAGGACGATTTGGCGAGGGATACGGTGCTGTACAGCCTTTGCTGGGATGATTGGGAGGAGGGTGGCAGGGAGAAGGTGCAGGCCATCATGGATCGGCGGTAAAGCCTCATATCACAACTCGTCATTGGTGGAAATATCACCTTGGGAAATCGACGGAGGAGGCCTCGATCGACCTGGCAGCATTGCACCATATGCATGCGCTTTTAGGTTGATAACGATTGCACCTCCGAGTGGGTCGCCCGCACTCTGATTGGGCGGTGAGCGCAAGTATGTCAGGATATCGCTGTGGTAAGGGGATATTACAGGTCCCTCGAACTGACCTGGGCCTATGAATCTACAGACTATGCACTTGAGCACGAGGTAGATGTGGGCCAGCATCCCTCCGCCGGTGCCCAGTGAGCCTGGACGTGGGACTGCAGCCAGGCTTCTCTGTGGCGTCACTGCAGTGTGTCTCGCTTGCATCCCGTCGATTTACGAATAACCAGTAACACGCGTCCAAGCCCGGACCGACATCCCATGCTCGCAGCCTGTGGATTCAGTCCAGAGTGAATTCAGAATTCGGGCTGCACATGCCTCGACCTCCTGAAATCCGCATCCCTTCTCTTCCGCCCACCGATTAAGTGTGCATATGTATACGTACCAGTTCCCCATCCAAAGACGTTAATGACGATCCCCTTCATATCCCCAGCCCCGACATTAACTGCGCTTACGTACGTACGTATGTATCCTCCTATCCCGCACAACGTCAACTACGAGCGAAATTAATGAACGATGAACTGCGATATATCGAGCTATATCAGGAATATCCCCCCTCCCCTTCCCCAACATAACCCCGCTTCGCGACGATCGTCCCCAAATGGCGCGCATTCCCCGCCCCGCACCCCGCGTTGGAGAAGGCGGAAGCCGGCGGTGGGGGCATCGATATCAGATATCGCGGAAGGCTGAGGAAGACTTGAGCTTACATTCCTTCTGCGCGCTGACCCGGGCGGACGAGTGCTTAATGCCTATCAGGGCTATTCATATTAGTGGTCTTCCTGGTGACCATCGTTCGTGCTGATGTATCGTCTGGAGCGGCGCGCTGGCAGGGGAGCGCGCCTTACAGTTTTCTGGGCATGGAGAGGTCAGAGAGTAGGTATACAGTCCCTCTGTGTACACTGTAGACCTGTATGACGACAAGGACAAGCAATCTATCAGCCAGTATTCACACAACATCGCGTGTTCCCATGACTCACAGGGGCAGGCGGCTGTAACGGTCCTCGGTACAACCTAGCCTTAAGTGTTGACAAGTATAAGTTAGAAGGTCGGGTCGTTTCAACTGGAAAGGTGAGCACTGTCGTCACCGCGCCCGAGGATCCGCCGACATTTGCTAGTCGATGGCAAGGGACCATGGTCAACGTAACGCAGATAGTCTGATTGTGCATGCTCTGGGGATGAAGGGGACGTAGGAGCCTGCTTTCCCGGGTCGCAGAAGGGGCTGGCTCGTCCGGCCTCAGGTTACGTGCCAGCGATTTCTTCGTCTCGCGCGCACTGACATGGACGCTTGATACCCGCCGCAGGCGTTGGATTCAAGCATCTGGAGCCTTGTCCGTAGTTACGCGATGCAGCTTAGTGAGATATACGCTACTAAGAGGGCAAGTTCAATCAGGATTATTTGGAACGTGACATCGCGCTCACCAAGATAGACAGAACCGCGACCCATCGTCATCGACCACCCAATGCGGGGATCCCCGCAGGTCCCGTCTTCTGTATTCGCTGTGCGCATGGGGGAGGAGAAGACGTGCGGGGTGGGAGGGAGAACTCTTGGGGATCGCGTCTGTTCTAACTTGAAGCTCGCAGCCCAGGCACGTCTTAGAACGTGCGGGAGGATGCGCGAAAGCGAATCCCGCCGGATGTTGTGTGCATGCGCTTCGAAGGCGAGCTTATTTCGGGGACGAAGTAATGGTAATGGTCGGCTTGAGGGAGGTTGAATGGGCGTTGACCAGGTACTATACTGACCTTGGGGACGAGTCGTTTGCCCGGCATACGAGCCAGTGGCTGTTATCAATATTTGTAGAGCTGAGCTCAGCAACCACAAGACGAAGGGGTCGCAACGTCTTCCATAAGAGATTGTTTCCAGTTTGCGGGTGAACGACATGAGACTCTTACATCGAAGGCGAGGATTACTGGATATCGATATCACATGCACTGAGCACTATACGGCTGGTTACTCGTCTTCGTCGTAAACCGAATGACCAACCTAGGACAGCGCTTGCCATCAGGGGATCGTCGTCGTCACGGTTCACTCAAAGACGCTGTTGAGAGATGAGGACGAATTCAAGCCCAGCGACGGTCGACGTCGTGTCTTGTGACCTCTGTCAGTCCCTGGTCGCTGTCGTCGATCTTTGATGTCGAGGACAATCTAAAGTATCGCGATACACGACAGGATCCTGTGCAACGGAGGCAAAACAGTGCTCAGCTGACCGCAGTGCTGCTAAACAAGGCAAGGGCATTAACGGTGGCGGTGAGACTCGGGTCACGAGGGCGTCGGGATTGATGGCGTTCAGTAATGTCGGGAGTGATGGCATTCAGTACATCGTTAATGTCGGCCTGCGGGTGCTGAAAGCGTTCTCCTCGTCAGTTTCTGCCGCAGAATCGACGGTGGACAAAGATCAGCCCAGTCGTTGCAATGCTGACAAAGGCTGACGCCTACCCTCGAATTCAGCCACCCCTGTCGGAATGAGGCCCGGGAGCCGGAGTGACTTCGGAAAAACCGATCGGGGTCTGGGTCTTGTATGTTTTGCACGTCGCAGGTTCCTATTCCAGGCTGCGATCTGCAAATTGCACGCAATCGCGAGGCCCCGTTGGCCCGAGGGTCATCGAGAGGCCTCTCGGCGTTGCCTCGGTGCGGTGCCGAAGCTCGCAGTGCCATGCAGACGATGCGGTCGAGGGTGCATCCATCGGTCGCAGTCGGCACGGAATGCCCCTTCGCGGGAAGCACCCTCGAAGCGTATAAAATACGACTCTTCGCATCCAGAGCAGGCCGTCAATCAACCGACACACCCACTCCCCCACTAATCTAACCAACTCCTCATGGGGCTGTTCAAGAAGTCCTCGGGCCCCGCCCAAGCCCCCCACGACCCCCTCACCAACGAAAAGGGTCTTATCGAGCACACCCCGACACACACCCCCGCCCACTCGACCCCGACCAACCGCTCCCATACCGACCTCCTCCCCGCCAATGCCCCCGCCAAAACCCGCGTCCCCCTCGTCGCCATCGTCCTCGGCGCCGTCGCCTCCATCGGCGGCTTCATGTTCGGCTACGAGTCCGGGCAAATTTCAGGCTTCGTCCAGATGAGCGACTTTATCGACCGCTTCGGCGAGAATGGCAAGTTCAGCGCTGCCCGCGAGGGCACCATCGTCGGCCTCCTCTCCATCGGCACCCTCCTCGGCTGCTTCATTTCCGCCCCGATGGCGGACAGGTTCGGACGCAAGTACACGATATCCTTCTGGGCCTTCTTCTACATCATCGGCGTCATCATCGAGATCACGTCCAACAAGGTGTGGGTGCAGTTCGCCATGGGCAGGTTTACCGCCGGTCTCGGTATTGGTTCGCTGTCGACCTGCGTACCCATGTACCAGTCAGAGTCCATACCCAAGGCCATCCGCGGCGCCGCCGTCTCGTCATACCAGTTGTTCATCACGCTCGGTATCTGGACGGCTTACATGGTCAGTCTTTCGTCCATGTCACCGCTCAAACAGCCACTAACCCATTTGCCGCTCAACAGGTCTGCTACGGCACCGAGGGCGCCTACCACAACTCGGCGCAATGGCGTATCCCCAACGGGCTCTCCGCCCTATGGGCCATCCTTCTCGGCGTCTCTGTCCCCTTCCTCCCCGAATCCCCGCGGTGGGCATACCGCGTCGGCCGCGTCGACGAGTGCCGGCGCAACATGGCCCGTCTTAACGGGTGCGACCCGTACAGCGACCTGATCAACCAGGAGATCGCCGACATCGAGGAGAAGCTGCAGGCGGAGCGCGCGGGCGGGGACCACCCGTGGTACGAGATCTTCACGGGCCCGCGCATGCTCTACCGCACGGTGCTCGGCATGGTGCTCCAGGCGGGGCAGCAGCTCACCGGCGCGAACTTCTTCTTTTACTACGGCACGACCATCTTCGCGGCGACGGGCCTGCAGAACTCGTTCGTGACGTCCATCATCCTCGGCACGGTCAACGTCGCGGCGACGTTCCCCGGCCTGTGGATCATCGAGCACTGCGGGCGGCGCAAGTCGCTGATGGCGGGCGCGGCGTGGATGTGCGTCTGCCTGTTCATCTACGCGTTCGTCGGGCACTACAAGCTGCCGAACCCCGACGGCACGAAGAACGCCACGGCGGGCAACGTGATGATCGTCTTCACCTGTCTCTTCATCGTCGGCTTCGCGACCACCTGGGGGCCGATGGTCTGGGCGAGCGTGACGGAGCTCTACCCCGCGCGGTACAGGGCGTCCGCGACGGCCCTCGCGACCGCCGCGAACTGGCTGTTCAACTTCCTCATCTCCTTCTTCAGCACCTTCATCACGGACGCGATCGACTACTTCTACGGGCTCGTCTTCGCGTGCTGCTGCGCGGGCCTCTTCTTCATCGTGTACTTCTTCATGATCGAGACGAAGAACCGCAGCCTGGAGGAGATCGACACGATGTACGTGCTGCACGTGAACCCGATCACGAGCGCGAGCTGGACGCCCGACAGCCTCAAGCGCGAGGGCGTGCCGACGACGGACCAGCTGTACCTCGCGCCGGGCGGGCGCAAGATCGTGAAGAGCGGCGCGGAGAGCGCGCACCACGAGCAGGCGGTCAAGGAGGACCCTGCTGGGCCGAGCAAGGCCGCATAGGGGGGGGGTGTAAGGCGGCTGGGTTGATGCTTGTTTCATGACTTGACTCTTCATTTCAAATGTGACGAAAGGAAAAGTATTGAGGATGATGACGCTGGGCTGGGCGGCCAGGCAGTGGACTGTCGGATGAAGAGCAATAGATACCGATGTATTTGTTTCCGCCTCACTGCTCGATTAGCTTAAATGTATTCTTATGCGAGTAATGATAAACGATCTACAAACCAACCTCTCCCGGGGTGCCTGCTTGCTGTCTTCGTCTATCTCCATCTGTTTGAGGTACGTCCTGGTGTCGCTTTCCTTGCTGCCTTTTGATTTGGTCTAGTCTACGTGCAGTGAGATGCTTTGACCTTGCAGACCCATGAGGTGAGCAAGCGCCCGCCTTCGATGACACCCCGCGTATTGACACTCCCCATACCCGGGCCATGTCCGCAGGAACTCGAACACACGGGCATAACGGTGCTTACTAGGTTGCGAAGCATACCCCACGAACGCCAGTGGGCGTACGCAGTCAATCACCGCATCCACCGACAATGCGCCGCGGTTAGGTTAGTAATGTCATGTCATACTTAGCAGCAGCGGTCGTGACATGGAGTGTCTGATAAGCTGCTTACATGCAATGTCTCCTCCGTGAACATCGTGCGTACATTATCTCGTCGGGCCGGGTGAGTGCTTCCTCTTGTGATTCGTTGGCATCAGCCGGTGAAGCTGATCAAGTCGACAACGCACACACCGCCCCGCCCAGGCCCGAACACAACTATCTATCTACGGGCTCGGACTGCGCACTCGGACGCTATCCCGGAATAGCGCCGATGGGAACTGGCAACTCGCAGAGGCTACGACACACGCCGGCGTTGGCGGCGAGCAGCAAGAGGACACGACCCGGCCGGCGCGGTGACCAATACCCGCGCGCGCGCCGGCGACTTGGGGTGGAGGATCCAGCAGCTCAGAAGCGGGCGTGGTGCCTGGACGGAGTGCCAGTGCGTATATTCATTGTGATGTTTGTTCATGTGCGGGGGAAGATGATGAAGTCGGCCGGGAAGAGAGGACGCGTACGGTCCTTCACGCGATGAACGGCGCGTGCGGATGCCGGGTTAGCGGTGCGTGGTGTACGGTGAGTAGGGCAAGGGCTTGCGACTTACTCATCGCTGCCTTCGGACCGGGGAGTGCGGTGTCCGTGTCCCGTGTCCCGTGCACCGCGTCCCAGGTGCGGGTGGATGGAGGTGGCGGGCGGGCGGGCGGGCGGAGAGCCCCGGCCACCGCACTCGGGAGGACGGGTCGTTGCACGGCCGATGATATAAACAACCAGAACGGCTTTCGTCGAGGTGGATGGGAAGATGTTCGAGCCCAGTGAACATGAAGGTGGCGCGGAGGAAGGCAGGTACGCTGGGACCTCCGCTGAGCATGGGCGCGCATATATGCACTTCATACTCGTCCGCAGAGGACCGGGCGCCGCGCCTTCCGGTACGTCGTGCGGTGGGGTCTTCATCGCATGGGCGGTCAATAACGGACAGTCGCCGTCGAGGGGGCATTGTGAACGATAGCAGCGTCGGGGAGCAATCTCGGTGGGTCGTCTATTACACGAGCACACGAATGATCGGATGCCGTACGGGAGCTGCTCTTAGTCAGGTGTTGATGAATACGGCGTCAGATACCTGCCTAAGAGGGGGTTCTGTCGACGGTAAGGGCTCGGGGTTGAACGATACCGGGTCGTACGGAAGCCGATCTGAGGTGGTTGTCATTGTACGAGCATACAAATGTACCAACTCAGAGCGGCTTTCGTCGACGGGCGGGGTAGGGAGGTATGTGATGGAGGACTGGTGGGCTTGCCCTTTATACCGTTAGGCGACGCGGACCAGCCCGTCCTGGTCCGGGAAGTGGGGCGCCCTTTGTCCAAGTGGCCAGCTTGTCTCGGGTACCTCCTCGTTGCAAAAACAAAGCAACCGAGAGAGGCTTGCGTCGACAAAGGGGGCGGGCGGGAGTTATGTGATAAACGAATGACATTATGCGATTCAAGCCCAGCGAAGCCAGCCCAAGCCCCCGTGATTCGTGTCTGCCCCTGGAATCTCGATGGGCGGTGGATCCCGATTTACGAGGGGCATCCTGTGCAGCGGAGGCAGAACGGTGCGCAGGTGACCAGCAGGATCGTGGACGGGGGCGGTTGCGCTGTCAGTGGCGGTGGCGTTGACGAGGGGGTCACGGGGGCGCTGGTGTGGTGAGTTGCCGGTGTTCCTGTGAGAGGTGAGGACACTGACTGACCGCAGAGGATTGGTCAGTGGCTTCCCCTGTATCAGGTCGACGCAAGGTCCGGGGCACCGTGGGGAACCGGATCGGATCCGTCGGCATCGTTGCCAAGCTTCCTATTCTGGAATGTGACGGAATGTGAAGAGATCTGGAGATCGGGAGGCTTCTCAGAGTCCCGACTCCCTACCACCACCACCTCCCTCAAGACTCGAGAGACAGGCCGGGCTGCGGTGCATCACAAGGTCGATGCGATGTATTAGGATGTATTCAGGAATGAGAGACCAGACCAGAGTCGCGGCTGTTCGGCGTGCAGAGCCAGTAGGTTTACCCACCCCAGGCGACTGATGCTGCGATGACAAACCCTTGATGATCGCTCGTCTGCTCTGCCATGACGTCACCCCCTGTATAAAACACTGCAAATTTTCCTGCGTCGACACCTTGCACAGGACCCCCTTGTCTTTTCCTCGACCAGAATGGGCGCGCTGTTCTACATCCAAGGCGTCCCCATCGGGCCCGTCGCCGTGTCGCTCGCGCTCGTCGCGTCCATGGGCGGCTTCATCTTCGGCTACGACACCGGCCAGATCTCCGACATCCTCCTCATGCCCGACTTCCTCCTCCGCTTCGCCCAGTGCTCCACCCCCGGCGTCGCCGACACCTGCAAGTTCTCCACCGTCCGCGAGGGCCTCATCGTCGCCCTCCTCTCCATCGGCACCCTCGTCGGCGCCCTCGTCGGCGCCCCCACCGCTGACTTTCTGGGAAGGCGGTACGCGATGGTCAGCGAGTGCGGCGTCTTCATCGTCGGCGTCATCATCCAGATATGCGCCTTCAGCTCCTGGGTGCAGTTCGCCATCGGCCGCCTCGTCTCCGGCTTTGGCGTCGGCGCGCTCTCCGCCGCCGTCCCCATGGTAAGCCCCCCCTCCCCCTCTTTCCCACTCAATCAGTGTAGATACTCACCGGGCCGCAGTACCAAGCGGAAACCGCGCCCCCGCAGATCCGCGGGACGCTCACTGCGACGTACCAGCTGTTCATCACCTTCGGCATCCTCGTCGCGTACTGCGTCTCCATCGGCGCGCGCGAGATCGCCGGCTCCGGCTCCTGGCGCACCGTCGTCGGCATCGGCATCGCCTGGCCGCTCGTCCTCTCCACCGGCATCCTCTTCATGCCCGAGTCGCCGCGGTGGCTCGCGCGGCACGAGCGCTACGACGACGCCATGATCTCGCTCGCGCGCGTCCGGGGTGTTTCTAGGGCGGACGCGCCCAACCATATGCTCGTGCAGAAGGAGCTGGAGGAGATTAGGAGCATGGAGGAGTATGAGCGGAAGATCAGGGGTGGGTGGCTGGAGTGCTTCCGCTTTGGCGACGGGCAGAAGACGGGGTACCGCACGCTGCTGGGCATGGCGCTGCAGAGTTTGCAGCAGCTCACGGGCGCGAACTACTTTTTCTACTATGGTGCGACGGTGTTCCAGTCTGTCGGCATCCAGGATTCGTTCGTCACGCAGATTATTCTGGGCGCGGTGAATTTTGGGTGTACGTTTGGCGGGCTGTATGTCATGGAGCGGGTGAGTGGATCTTGTCTTCTGCTGTGAGGAGCTGCGGTTGATGGAAATGCGATGGTAGTTCGGACGGCGGTTCCCGCTGATTATCGGCGGCGTGTGGCAGGCCATCTGGCTCTTCGTCTTTGCCTCCGCAGGAACCGCCGGCGACCCGCAAAACGAAGGCATCGGCAAACGTAAGCGTCTCCCTCCGTCCTGCCTTGCCCCACTAACCCCCTTCAACAGTCATGATCGTCTCCGCGTGCCTGTTCATCCTCGGCTACGCCATGACGTGGGCGCCGGGCATCTGGATCCTCATCGGCGAGACGTTCCCGACGCGGAGCAGGGCCAAACAAGGCGCGCTGGCCACTGCGAGCAACTGGCTGTGGAATTTCCTGATCGCGTTCTTCACGCCGTTTATCACGCGGGCGATCGGGTACCGGTACGGGTACGTTTTCGGAGGTGCGTCGTCTCTCTTTCTCTCCTTCATTCCTTCTCCCTTCCTAACCCCCGCCCCCTCCCTCCGAAACGCAGCGTGCAACCTCCTCGGCGCGCTCGTCGTGTTCCTCTTCCTGTACGAGTCGTCGGACATCTCGCTCGAGGCGGTCGACCAGATGTACGCGGACCCGAATTGTAAGCCGTGGACGAGTCGCCGGTGGGCGCCGCCCGGGTATGTGGATAGGAAGGATCTGATTGGGCAGAGCCGCGCGGCGGAGGGGCAGAAGCCGCTCGCGAGCGGGGCGTTGGAGGAGACGAGGGTGGAGAAGGCTGAGGAGGGGGGGAGGTGATCATGATTCATGACGATTGATACGTTCAGGCGACGAGGTGTTTGATTCAGCGGTGTTGGTTTGATGATGTATTTCGGGCGTATTTGTATGATGCTATAATACTGACGGTACTGACGTAGATGTGTACTTGCCGTTTAATGCTACTTGTTCGCGATCCTGTCTGACCGAGTGTCTGCTCGTTGCTTTGGGGCAATCATGTTGGATTTGGGTAGGAGGGCGCCGGCGGAAGCGCCGGGCCGGTGGTTGATGTGTGGCACTTGAGCCTCGAGGGCTCCTTTTAAATTCAACTTTGTGTCTTCGGACTGCCCTCGTCCTACCCCCTTGCTTGCTCTTGACTCGATGTTGCGTACCATGCCCGATCTCGCCCTGGAGGATCCGGAGCCGCCAGCAGAAGATCGGTCCTCCGACTCAGTCGACGGGCCAGGGCTGAGAGCAGAGGGACGACGAGCCCGAGCAGGGTCGAATCCGAGTTTACACGGGCTCTGGTTGGGTCGGCGCTTGCTTTCGTCGTGTAGCGCTGCGACCGAGGATCATGCATCATGCGGGAGCTCGATGTATGCGGTGCCCAACTCCGACGGAGGGGCGGGGGGGGGGCTGTCCCTTGCAATCTGTGTCGAGCGGCTCGGGGGATGTGGGTGTTCCCGCGCCCCCGGCTGCTCTGCTCCTTCGTGCCGCGTTTTCCGTTCTACCATCTCGTCCATCTCAGCGTCGTGCCGCGGTAACGTTGAGTCCCTGCGATGCAGCCCTGCTCAGCGTTCCGCCGAGCTTCCCGCGTTGCCCCGCACTTCGCTCCCCGCGTCGAAGCGGGTGCTGAGTGACAGCGCTTGCACGAGAAGTGTCTGCGAACGGGTCACTCGGCACTCGGAGCCGCGGAAGGCTCGGAGGAGGCGCGCTCTTGGTTATGCTTATGGTCCCCCAAGAGAGACGAACAAGGACGGCCGATGAGTCACATCCGGTCGAATCTATCCAGTTTGTTACGCAGTGCGTTGTCCGTACCTTCTGTCGCGTTGCTTTACCCTGACTTGTGTAGACATCCCGTCCCCGTGATCATGATTGTGGATCGCAAGTGTGGGTTGCGGTGTACTACTTGCGGGCGGGGGTCTTCCTTGGGCGGCTGCGCAGGGCGCAACGAGCCTACTCGCTTCGCCCGAGTATCTCGCGCTACCCCACACTTCCCCTCCCCCGCGCATGGAAGCCGCTCCCGCCGTCAAAGAACCTTCTCAGAAGCGGCGGGGAAAGGCGGCTATGCTTGCGCTTAACATGGATAACGAGGACGTTCTATCTTGGGGACGTGAGTGAGATCCCGCCGTGGCAAATATAACTTGTTTGCTGGTAGTGCATGCGTGCCACCGAGCTGATCGTGGCTTCCGGCGCATCTCAGGATTGCACGAGCTACCGTCGCAGAGCAGAGAATGGTGGGACGCCGCTTCGACGGGCTCAATCTTGTAGCCGATAGTGTGACGTGTCCCGAGCCAGGATCAGCTCTGGCAGGGCCGAGTTCATGATTTCACGATCCAGCAGCGGTGGCCGCTGGGACCTCCCGGTAAGCTCTCGCCGTCCTTTGACTTCTGGACGATCGCAGGGCTGTATGTATGCGCGCCCTTCCCGCGTGCCTGCATATTGAAGCCCAGGAACCTGGCCTGACAGAGTCTTTGGAGACGTGACGACGCAGGAGTAGCGAAATGTGTGTTGGACAAGCCGGCTTGAAGTCCGTTCGCCAGTGCGTATAAGACATCCACGGAGTTTTTGAGTCTAGTAAGTTGAGCGGTTTAGAATACAATCAGGCCAACTATCGTGGCGTGTCTAGTGCCGATAAAGTGAGCTCTCTCTTCGTTCTGGTCCGATCTTTAAATCCGTTGCAATCTCTACGTCAGGACATTCTACATAGATCAAGACGAGCATATTTCCCACCTGGCGGTCGATATCTCGACTTAGCTAGTAAGGTAGTGGACTATTACAGATGCCGTCTATCCCCCATGCCCTATCGCGAGTATTGCACCAAACAATCGCCACTAACGATACTCAGAGTCGGTATATTTGGGGTGGAATTGGTTGCTCATGACATGTACCGTGGCAGGAGAGGTGCGTGACTGCCGATTTGATAATCCCTACGAACGCCGCGGGACTGTGCCTTGCGTGGCCTATAGTTCCGTGAATAAACTGTAGTGATTGCGTACGCGTCATCTCATCATAGAGCGATCTGAACAGGACCCGCAAACAGACGTCCAATGAGCCCGCGAAGCCTCGACAATGCTGTATTGTAATCCTCTATTGCCGGGCTGGGCGGAGATAAGGCATCTCCCCGTCAAGAGCCTCGGGTCGACAGCATCCACTCGTACGTGACGCTTCATCCACACCGTCGTCACGGCATGGGATCTGGCAATGTATGGGCCTCATTCGCTTGTTGACCCGATAACTCTGCTGCGTATGTCGCTAGTCGGTTCCTATCCTGGGAATACCCGGTTTTCCTCTCAGTTGCGTAGGTATATCAATAGCGGCCCTTTCTGCCGCTGACCAGATTTCTGCTTACTCTCTAACCTCCCGAAGGTGAATAACGGGATTCTTGGACGTCCTCTCGCACTCACGTACTTTGTGCCTACCAGGTTCTGTATCCCACGAGTACTGCACGCAGCGCGACATTTGCCGTTATTCACATACAAACTGGATCGAAATGGAGACAGAGAGCCGTGGAATGGGCTCATGTCGATTCCTTGGTAGAGCCTGAGAACGTAAGTTGTGCGTTGTGATTCTGAAGGTTAGACCCTTATGGAGACGCATACAGTTCAGGAGCTTCGTTCGGGTCCGCTCGCATATATATATATATATATTGGGCTCTGAAGAGAGGTTCTGTCAGCAATTGTCGTTAGCTTTGCACCATGGCCGTTGCGCTTGTCCAGTATGCGATCCTCGCGTCTTTTGTTCTGACTGTACTTTATTATCTGCCACGATGGCGTACGGGTCGGCACCTGAAGAACGTCCCTGGACCCCCATCACCGTCCTTGGTCACAGGTAAAATGCATCGTTCGACTGCTGAGTGATCCGGTGGTCATGTCTCTATGATCTAGGGAACCTCAAGCAGTTATACGACGCGAATGGATGGGACTATCATCACCGCCTTCTGGAGCAGTATGGCTCTGCGGTGAACGTCTCCGGATATCTCGGTGTATGACGTTTCACAGAGCATCCGGCAGAGCTTCTCATAATGATCTTGACAGCAACAAATTCTGTATATCTCTGACCCTCTCGCCCTCTATCACATCATCATCAAAGAACAGCCCATTTACGAGGAGCCCAAGTTCTTCTATCCGTTCGTCCTTTTCTTCAGTTTAATGTTTTGTGTCCTGACCGGAGGGAAGACTAAACTACTTGATGTGGGGTGAGGGAGTACTTTCCGTGCATGGTGCTTGTTCTCCCGTACATTTTGCCTTTTCAGTCTCGTTAACTCGCGTATCAAGGCCAGGCCCACAGAAAACAGCGTAAAATGCTGAATCCAGTATTCAGCACTAAGCATCTTCGGAACTTGGTGCCCATATTTCACGATGTCACAAAAGAGGTTAGCAGGAGAACGAATTATATCTGTGAGCGAGACTGACTACTTGATTAGCTTTGTAGTGTCATAGAAAGCAAGGTCTTGAGGGGGGAGACTGAGATTGATATGCTGGATTGGATGACCCGGACGGCTCTGGAGTTAATCGGAAGGGCCGGACTTGGCTACAGCTTCAATATCATGCGGGAAGGCACTGTCGATGAATATGGGTCTGCTGTGAAGTCACTCTTGTGGGTATCGATCAGCATGTTACAGATGCGAGTGCTAACCAGCGATTCTGCAGCCCCACCCTCTTTGATTTTGCCTTACTACTGCCTTTACTTCCGTACTTGATGAAGATTGGTCCTCCTCGTTTCCGAAGGTTTCTTGTAGAGAAGGTTTCAAATCAGAAGGTTCAAAGTCTCAAGGAGAAGATCGATATCATGGAGAAGACATCCAAGCATATATACCAGACCAAAGTGGAGGTCCTCGCGAAAGGTGACGAAGCTTTGTCGAAGCAGGTTGGCGAAGGAAGGGACATCATGAGCCTCTTACGTGAGGATGGTCCTCTTTTAAGGCGACCCGTACTGAGCTTGTTGTCAGTAAAGGAAAATCTATCGGCGTCTGAAGAGACACGGCTGCCGCTCTCCCAAGTTCTTGGCCAGATGAGGTACCCTTACCTACCAGTCCAGTCCTTCCCAGAATATCTACTTACATTTGCTGTTCAAGCACTCTGATATTTGCAGCTATGGATACGACTTCCTCTGCATTGTCTCGCATTATGTATCTTTTAGCTTCCAATCCTGAGGTTCAAGATCGACTGAGACAAGAGGTGCGGGATACTCTTGCAAAGGAAGAGCTCATGTTCGACGTTCTGGACCAACTGCCATTCCTGGATGCCATATGCCGAGAAACGCTCAGACTGTACGTGCAGGTGTATTCGGAACCCCACATGATCTGAAGGTTGCACATAGACATCCCCCTGTCACTAAGCTCGAGCGAAGGTAAAACCTCTTTGCTCCCCGATCTCACCTTAATTGATGTCCGTGTCCTTGCTATCAGGACTGTCAGGGATACTGTCCTTCCATTATCGATTCCAATTACAGGTGTCGACGGCAGTACCATCGATCAAATACCTCTTCCCAAGGGTTCCAACCTCATTCTTAGCTTGTTTTCCCTCAATAGGAACAAGGCTATATGGGGCGAGGATGCCTATGAATGGAAACCGGAGCGATGGCTAAAGCCCTTGCCTCCTAGTGTAACGGATGCCAAGATACCTGGCGTCTACTCGAATATGTAAGTGGCATTGTCGTCAGACAGACTCTTCTCCATTCAGTGGTATTTGCAGTATGACGTTCTCCGGAGGCCCTCGCGGTTGCATGTGAGTTCTCCCGCGCGTCTTTCCCGTTCCCCATCCTGATGTGTCCAACAGCGGGTTTAAGTTCTCCTTGCTGGAAATGAGTACGTACGGACCTCCATCCGAAGGCCGGTCGGCTGATAGCTCTGGCTTCTTGCAATGCAGAGGTGGTTATAGCGTCGCTAGTTGAATCATTTCGCTTCCAGCAGCCTGAGGATAAGGCCATCACATGGGATATGAGCTTCATAGCAGTACCGCGGCCGGAAGGCTCGGACAGCAAGTCACCAGAATTACCCTTGAAGGTATCACTTGCCAGATTGACCGGGGAACAGGCTCCATGCCCTGTTCAGATGGACTGAAGTGATGACCAGGCGCGAGTAGGTGAGACGTGCGATCTGTCTAGCGGATCCAGGATTCTGGTGGAGGCTCCAGTATGATTGTCATATTGGACTACGTACCAGAAGGACATTTATGACTGCGGTTTCATTGTGCCACGAGAATTGCTACAAGCTCCGACCTTCCCGCGGCCATAGGCACGGCGATTTTTCCGCATGTGGCCTCCCATCAGTACATTCACAACCAATCGCAGTCTTTCGAACCTGTTACGAACCTTGCCACTCGAAGGCTCTCTAAGCTACTGACAGCTGCAGCCTTGACACAAGACTATGTTACGCCCCTCGTACACTGGTTCGCAATGGCGTGTCGACTGCACGATTACGATGCGACCGTATGGTGAAGCTATCGACCAAACTGCGCGTTGTATCAATATTCCCAGTGAGTGTCTGAGTCAGCACCCGGGCATGTAGAATAAGGTCGATTCAGTCCTCATCTCCAACAAGGATCAGTAGTTCAACCCTCGGAGACTCCCCCCATAGATCGGGGTGGATGACTGCCTAGACGAGGGTGGGTCGTCCTGCGCTCTCATAACACTGCGCATATCAGGCACTGGGGGCTTGGGTGTTAGCGGACTTGCGCGTGTTTGGTACTGCCCGCCCTCGTCTTCAGATTCAGACCTAGTTCCATCTGTTTGGCTCCGCTGTAACTATCTGTACATGTGAGAGAGGCCAGGCCATAGTGTGTTCGTGTTCTGCAGTCTTGTTTACCCGGTACTGCTCACCCTGGCCTTGAAGTGAGTACTGAAAACCGGACTCAGCCGTTGGCAATTACTGTATCTACGGGGCGGTCTGGGCCGTACCGTTTAGCATTGTTATTCTGTACGTGGTTCCTCAGGGTTCCTCTCGTCTTACACCTCGTTCACAAGCCGGCCATACCTTTTTCTGCGGCCTCCACACTCAGGCGTGACCAGGTAACCGAGATAACCTGGTTGCTTCGGGCGCACTTCTTTTTGCCCCATGAAAACGAGTGCTGAATGACACCGCTTGCACAGATGCCTCGTATGAGCGGGTCACTCAGCACTGGAAGCTGCGGGAGCCCCGGAAGGCCTGCTTATGCTTCACAACGACAAATCAGGACGTCCTATTATGAGATGTGACTCGTGAGTGAGATCCGGTTAGATATGTACGAGTCTCAAGTTGCTTTGGCTCACTATAATATGCGCAGAGATCCTATTCATGTTTGCGGATTGAGGGTTACATGGGAAGCAACCGCTTGTACCTCGTGAGTCGGCGAACAGGGTATTGTTTGCGGGTGCACTGAGCTCGGCCTCATTCCCTTTGTACTTACACCGATTTCGAAGAATATCTCGCGCTACCCATATATATCCTTCACGCATTGAAGAGGATGCCAACCCGCTCGCTTGTCGAAGAACTGTCCACGGGCGGGCCAGCAGGCACTCGGAACCATGGAGGCCTAGGGCCAAAGCGTTCAAAACGAAAACCGGTGTTCTATCTCGAAGATGTCCGTGAGGTATGTGGCGAGTCATTTTGGTATTCTTAGCTGGGAGACTGGCATGGTGCATGATGTTCAGCCAATTCATCAAGCGGTTCGCGCACTCCGTCGAACCAGTACTGGCTGCACCACTTCATCGAGTATTCATGGCTAGCCTCGTGTGGTCCTGATGAAAACCTGAGAAGCAGTGAGCGTTGTTCCAAAATGGGCCAGCCCAATATACTTTATCGGGACTGTATTACCTAGATGGCGTGAGGTATCTTATTAGTGTACGAACCAGTGCAGCGATACTGGGGTCTAATCCTCCATTCGTCCGGGCACTTGATTGGCTGAACCTGAAAACAGACTTCGCACCAATCCTTCGGCGTTTCGGCCAGTTTTATACCAACTTCTACAGGGTCGTGGCGTTATACGCCAGTCGTGCCTACGCCTGCGTATGGAAGACCGGAAGCGGGACTCTATGGCTGACCTCCCTAGGAATGTGTTACGTGGTGATGCTCCAATTGTCCAAAAACAACCTGGAGTACCGAAGTATGTTGACCACGCTCCTACGATGTCTGGGTTAGTAGCGTTTGACATGGCGTGGTCTCAGGCCGGCATTGGCCACTACCTGGGAGGTGCGTGGCTGTTGATATGATATGATGCAGGTTACTTGCTGGGACCGCATTATCATAGTACACCTCTTCTCAGGATTGGGTGATCTCCGAGTCCTTGGTATCAGGATCAATGAACGAGACGACTATGGAACCGAAAAGTCATGATAGTGCTAACCGGAATCCTCTATAGGCATGGCGGGGCGAATATGAGGCTAATTCAAGTTGTCAAAGGCCTCTACCGGTGATCTACTGACCCGTTTGCATCATAACTCCGGTATCACCTCATTATGCTCAGCGAATCTACCGGTACACGACGAGGAGCCACACAAACGGCGGACGCATTGTCACACAAGCGCAGCGAACACGACACAGCAGGTGTAACTGCAGGAAGCAATCTGAGCCGGTAGGCCATATAGCATGGGCAAAAATGCCGTCGGCTTTTCCCCCAGCACTCGCTTGCTTCGAAGAAGCAGGGCAGGTATGTCAGGAGCTGCTCTGTCACATACATAATTCTGCTTACTCCCAACCTTCCGAAGCTGAACAATTGAACTTTGGAGGCCATCGCTGCCCCTCACTGGTACATACACGGTCATGTCAATTTTCCTCAAACGGTTGAGGTTGCGCCCACCCCGCATTACCTCCAAGCAGATTGGCTGGAAGCCGTTATTTCGAACCACGCAGGATTGCTTGGCGGGATACGAGAACCTACGGACTCGATCTAACTCCGGGGATAGAGATGTAGCTTAGGTATTCAAAATATTCGGCGAGGCCGTCCCATATATGAAGACGAAGGACGCTTCTGCTGTCACAACTTGCAGACTCTGCTGAGCTTCTGAGTCATGATCTTTGCTATCATTCAGTGGGGGCTCGTAGCCTCCATTGTTCTGGTCGCGTTATATCACCTGCAGCAGAGACTCACGAACCGTATATTGAGGAAAATCCCCGGACCTACACCGTCGTCCGCGATCACAGGTAAAGGTGGACGTTCGACCGTACTAGATGGTTGTGGCGCTCACGGCTTAATCACGATCACTCAGGGAGTTTCCAGGACCTTTACCACACGCAGGCATGGTCCTTTCACCAGGCCCATCTAGATCAGTACGGCGCCGTTGCGAAGGTCCAAGGTCTCCTCGGTGTAAGGTGTTCGTCAACAAATATGGAAACTCTTCTTACACTGAATTTGACAGGAACAAATGCTATACATCTCTGATCCTCTCGCCCTTTATCACATGATGGTCAAAGAGGAGCCTATTTACGATGAGTTTGCATTCTTCTACCCGTCCGTTCATCTCATTCTGTCTGATGCCATGTTTACTGACTCAAGCACAACTTGAAGGCTGAACTACTTACTCTGGGGGGAGGGATTGCTTTCTGTACACGGTGCGTGTTATCCGATTTACCCTACAAGTCATGGTCAAGCTGACGAGCAGATTAAGGTATGACCCACAGGAAACAGCGCAAGATGCTCAATCCGGTATTCAACGCCAAGCATCTCCGTGAAATGTGCCCAATATTCCACGATGTTGCGCAAGAGGCGAGGGACACAACTGGTCGTCACTGTGGCTAAGGCTCACTATTCCCTGTAGCTCCGAGCTGTCATCAAGGATAAGGTACAGAGAGGAGAAGCTGAGATTGATATGCTGGATTGGATGACTCGGACAGCTCTGGAGTTAATCGGGAGGGCCGGACTTGGGTATAGTTTCAAAATCATGCAGGAAGGTACTGTCGATGAATATGGTTCAGCTGTAAAGTCGCTCTTGTGGGTGTCCATGCTGTACAGGGGCGATGGACATGCTAACCACGCAGTTTGCAGCCCACACGTTTTCGAATTCGCTGTCGTGCTGCCTATCCTGCCTTACCTGATGAAGATTGGTTCCCCACGCTTCCGTAGGTTTATGGTGGAGATAACTCCCAATAAGAAGATACGTCGCATCAAGGAGATGATCGACATTATGTGGAAGACATCCCTGAATATCTACCAGACCAAGGTTGCCGCTCTCTCAAAAGGCGACGAAGCTTTGGCCAAAGAGGTGGGCCAAGGGAAAGACATCATAACGCTACTATGTGAGGATCGAGGCTATCATTGTTACGTTTACTGAGCTTGTTAACAGTGAGGGCAAATATGATGGCATCTGAAGAAGAACGGCTACCGCTCTCCCAAGTCCTTGGACAGATGACGTACAGTTAATTACTCCTACGCTCCCTTCCGCAGAATACTTACACTGGTATCACTACAGTACCTTAATTTTTGCAGCCATGGACACGACCTCCTCTGCGTTGTCCCGCATGTTGTATCTCCTCGCTTTGAATCCCGATGTACAGGCAAAGCTTAGGCAAGAGGTGCGGGAGGCTCGCGCAAAGGGAGAGCTCGACTACGACGTTCTGGACAAACTGCCATACCTGGACGCCGTCTGTCGCGAAACCCTGAGGTTGTACGTAGAATCATTGACCGGTACGTATATGTATTTCAATACTGTTTATAGGCATCCCCCCGTCACGACGCTCGAACGAAGGTGAATCTCCTTCAACTATCGCCGTCTCACTGACACCCATGTCTTTGCTACCAGGACCACCAAGGATACTGTTCTTCCGTTATCGACTCCGGTCAGGGGCATCGACGGTATTATGATTGACCAAATTCCACTTGCGAAGGACACCAGGATCATCGCCAGCGTGCTGTCATTTAACCGGGACAAGACTGTATGGGGGGAGGATGCATACGAATGGAAGCCGGAGCGATGGCTGAGGCTCACGCCGCCTGGCGCCACTGATTCGAAGTCGCCCGGAGTCTACTCGAATATGTACGTGTCACTGCCATGAAGAAATACGTCCTTCGTTAATGTGTGGCAAAAGGATGACTTTCTCCGGAGGCATTCGTGGTTGCATGTAAGTTTTCGCATCTGGCTACCTCTTCCCAGTCCTGACACATCGTTGCAGTGGCTTCAAGTTCTCCTTGCTGGAAACGAGTACGTGTGCATCATTCTGAAGGCCAATGTACTGACGCTTCTGGCTCCCGATAACGCAGAGGAGGTATTGATGACGCTAATAGAATCCTTCCGCTTCGAGCCCGTCGAGAAGAAGAGCATAACATGGGACCTGGGTATCATAACAACACCACGTGTGGAGCATACAGAGAACAACGGGCCCACACTCCCATTGAAGGTGTCAATTGCCGAGAAGCTCGCAGAATAAGGTCGATGTTACATTCAGATGACGGGTCGCAGACCAGGAGCGACAGCTGCTTTGGATCCCCTTACCATGCACGGATAAATACTCGTCGGTGTAGTAAATTTGGACGTAACACCGCAGATGATACATACAAGCGATATTCATTCAATCACACCGCCGCGTTTCCACTGCATATATGTTCATCTGTCAGTGCGTTGCACCAAACTTTGATCCACGATCCAATATATCCCCCCTTTTCCCGCCCAGCAAGAGACGCCGATACTGCCTCTGAAACTGAGCTAACCACTCGCGGCTCTTGTTGATACTTTCAACTTTGTAATACGAAGGACGTCTAAATTACCTCCCCCTGACATGACCAGCGATCCATCACAAATTCATCCACGAAACCGGCCACAATCTGCGTAACCTCGCCTGATCGCCCAACAACTGTCGATGAAGTCATGAAGCGTGGAGATGGGGCATGCGGGTACTGTTGTCCAAGTGGTCCCGATAGAACATGCGGGTTCCTGGCGATATAGAGACTGGTATCTCCATTAACGAAGACGCAGTCGACCTGCCAGATCAACTTAAGAGCGGGAATTAGGGTGAGGCGATCAACTGTCGGCTGACGAGGTGCCTCCCTATCTGCAAAATACAACCTATGTTGCACTCGCCGTGAAACCGCCACCGACAGTAGCGACGATCATGACAATCCCGAATACCTGCACAGCCCGCCAAAAGCCCGAAACGTTCCGCGCGCGGTCCTCCGCCGTCTGCCAGTCCTTCTCGCCCTTCTTCGTCCCCGTCGCGCGGCGCACGTACGGCGACGCGAACGGGTTGTGCGGGTACTGCGCCTGGGCGTGGCTATTGTGAGCATAGGTGTAGGGGTTGGGGCCGGTGCCGTGCGCGCGGTAGCCTGGTGGGGGCCGGTTGTAAGCGGAGTGGGTTTGGTGGGTGTATGTATGTGATTGGTGGGGGTGTTGGCGCTCCCAGGCGTAGGATGCACCGCGCCTGCGGCCTTCGTAGGCGGCTTGGGAGTACGGGTATTCGTGGCCTGGCGCGTGACTATGTGAGCGGCGGACTGAGCTGGAGCCTGTGGCTAATTCTCGGTCATAGGCGCGACTATGCCGCGTATTTATTAGGTGAGAGAAGGACTGTGAATACAATGGCTGCGGACGTACCGCTTCCTATCGTCCCCCAAGATAGAGTACGCCTCGCTCGCTGCTTGGAACTTAGCCTTTGACATCGGGTCATCGGACACGTCTGGATGGTGTTGCTTGCTCATCTGCCGTGTAAAGTGAAGCTTAAGATCCGCTTCCATTCGCTACAGTGATATAGACACTCACCTTGTAGAAGCTAGTCTACCAGGCCAGTTGACTGACCATAAGACCATTTCCTTTCCCTCATCAACACTAACCGCGGCTCACCTTTATTTGACTCTTTGTAGCATTATGTGGCACGTCTAACGTCTGGTAATGGTTTGACAAAAGAGAGGAGGATGCAAAGTTCTGGACTTTGCTTCTACGAGATATCGTTGAAGACCGAGTGGGTATCGACTTAGACAAGTGGGATCCTGAAGCGAGCATCATTAGATACTTCTAGCAGTACTGATGGGTCCTTCTAATCTCTCCAGCGAGATACAAGGAGTGCGATGAGGGTTCGTCAGAAAGGCTTCAGATTCAGAGCGAGCCCATTACATCGGTGATATGCATATGGGGTGCACGTGAAGGACGCGTTTTGGGTCACGCGTGACAAACGCGTCTTTGCCTGTACTGTACACGTTGAAGACGAACTTCATGGACATTGGACTGACTCCGACTGAGTCAGACTTATGGAAGCAGAACTTCTGATACAGTTGCAATATATATATACTCCGGTAAGCAGATTAAGCTGAAATCATCCGTCAGTAGGCAACTACACGCTGTGTCTACACGTCAGACACCGCTTGCATCGGCCTTCGCTCTGACCCGAAGGGAGCGAAGGCAGTGATAGGAGACAATGTATGAGATGTATGACAAGTGCTTGCAAGATGTTCCCCGACGTGCCGTTCACCTACTGAAAATGTATAGGCATGTCAGTACCATATTCACTGGGATCAAACGATGAATACTTACGGGCCCTCTTGATCTTGCCAAGACATCTGTACATTATTGTCAGCCGTCTGTATAAACTGAGCAGACAGTATGACTCACCTTGACTCTCTATGGGCCCAGCGCCGGCATTCCGGCACAACCACACGGCGCGTCTTACATGGATCGCCCTCCCCACTTACGTGCCATTCCGTGCCGCAGAGCGCATTGGCTCCCGGCAGCACACTGGGGGTTTTATGGGTTGCCCCTGTCGCAGGGTAGTACGCGGATCACCCTACCAGAGGGCTGCCCTATTTACGGAAGGTAGACCGGCGCGACTACCAATGAGGCTCTTGTCAGCCGGTGCTCTCATCAGCCGGTGAGGAGAGGGACGCACCCGCGTGGTGTGACTGACGAGCAGAGGTCTTGAAAGTCGCCTATCTAGTAGGTCTTGATCCACAGCCAGCAAGAGAATAGGTCTTGATCCATAGCCAGCTAGGAACCTTTGGGGATGTCTACCTACGTGTCTACCTACCGTGGTCAGTGAATCCAGCACCAGTCCCACGTACCTGTCATGAACACCACTGTCCATAGATCCCTTACCCAATTCGACGCCAGCGTGCACCGGTCCAGCGGTATACGAGCGAAGCGAGTGCGAGGTGAAATGTCGCAGGTAGATGGTGGTGGGAGGGAGTGAAGGCGCGCCTTGCGGGTTAGGACAGGAGAGAGGGTCTTATATACCCTCGCGAACGGCGGTTGACATTGTAATCTCAACCGCGTCTGAGGTAAGCCGGGCGAAGAGAGGTGGCTGACTGCATACCGTGTATGGTATGGGTATTACCGCATTTGGATATGACACGTTATACGGACGTAGAACGGAGAACGCTAAGTCCTGAGTACGAGTCGTTTGGGGCGATGGTTCCAACCGGCGTCGAGTGGCACAGCAGGTGGACGTGCGGAGCCGCGAACGAGGCGGACGCAGAGCTCGCGTCCCTGCAACTGGATACTATGTATGATTATCTACGAAAGGACGAGCTCGCACTCGAGCTCAAGCTAGCTCAAGCTGCTCAACTGTACGTGGCCTTGCGTTCGAGCATTGGAGCCGGCTTTTTCATAAGTTCAAGGGAAACGCGTAAGATAAAGACCGACGTTGTACCGACACCGTTCTACGCCTCCTGCATTGAAGCACGGTACATTTGCCTTCCTTTGGGTTGTCCTCTGAGAGTATCGACCGCTAGAAGGTCCTGCAGGGTGTCTATGAAGAGACGTTAACCTTTGGGGTTGCGTGCTGGCACGGAACGAACCCCTCGTAGAACTCGTACACGGCTCGTCCTGCAGCGGTGGGTTTTGTTTTCTGCAGCGACCAACGGCTACTGCACATGAATAGAAGAGGCGTGTTCAAGTCTTCAGTACATTCATGGAATCCTTCGTAGAGCGGCCTCGCGGGAGCGTCGTGTATTCATAGTGGACTAATGTACACAAGCCATAGAAACAGACAACAAGGCTCCGAATCGCCTTGCCAACTGGACGAAGAAGCAAAATAATTGCCGCCGGAGCAATCGACTTGCGTGAGACGTCAAATACGGAGGTAGCCGACGTCTGATTGATCCCCCTACCCCTCATCTGTAGCCTTTGTTTGCTGGCCTGGGTACACGTTCCTTTCATGAAATTTCTTGCTTAACTTTGCATACGCACCCTGCATTCTTTGTCCTCGACCCTCTTTCGCCTTTCGGTCAGCTTGGGCTGGGCCTGAGCGTTTCTTAGCTTTGGACAGCCATGGCGGCGATCCCACCTCATTTGCGCACGGCGCAAAGTTCTGAGTCCGTCGCGACCGTCAAGAGCAATGCCAATGGGAACCGTGACTCTAACATGGTCAGGGCCTCCATTCTGAATACGGCCCTGGAACTGGGGGTAGGCCGAAATAAGACCGTTACCAACTGGATGTTCAATGGAATCGACGAGGAGGACGAAGAAGAGGAGGTGAGCGTGTTTATGTACCTTTTTGGGACTACCTAATAAAGGTCACTAGTCTACCATGTCCCCTGCTTTGACGTCTGCTTCGACAGCCACGTCGGATGAAGGGGTTTTCACTCCTCAGAACGGCCGCGGGGGCTTTGTCTACCCGCGGCTTGATGCCTATAAGCCAGATGCTCCATCAACCATTAAGCCTCCTGGGAGGACTATTGCGTTCGATCTTACCCGCCCCCCGCCCACTCCCGATAACCCCAGTAGTGCACAGGCCCTCCCACCTGTTCCTCAGTCAAATTCCGGTTTTCTTAGATATAGATTGGGAAAGTCTAAATCAAAGCGTGAAGATGGTTACGAGACGGATGGTGCCGCGACGGACTCAGGTAGCAAGGGTAAGATTAAGAAGAAGAAGAGCAAGAAGGAGGTAAAGGGTGGAGGAGAGGGCTACGAAACAGACGGGGCGGGCACGGACTCCGGTAAGAAGAAGAGCAAGAAGAAGAAGGACAAGGAGGATGGCGAGGAAAGCGACGGGGGCTATCTCTCTGATTTTACCCGCAGTCGGAAGAAGAAGAAAGAAAAAAAGGCGAAGGAGGCAGCGGCGGCTCAGGCGGAAGACACAGACGCGAGCGGGTACTTGTCCGAGGCCTCTGCCAAGCGGAAGAAGTCATTCTTCAGCAGGAACGCGGGCAAGTCCGGCTCGAACTCGAACTCCAGAGGTTCACCATCGTCGGAGACCCCCCCGCCCGTCCCAGCCCTCCCGGACTTCCCACCTAACCTGCCCATCGCCGGCCGGTTCCAGAGGCCCAGCGAGTCGAACAGTAGGAGCGATACGCCGTTATCTAGGGAGACGCCAGACTCGGGTGCTCACCTTAAGAAGGTACCCTCCCACAGCAGCGGGTCGAGTACGAGGGAATCAAACAGCCGGGAAAATGCAAGCTTTGGCCACTCTGGATCCTTTGACCGCTCGAGTGAGCGCGGTACAGGCTCTCACGAGTCCCAACGCGATGCTCTCAGCAGTCCAAGTAAAGCGGAAAGCAATAAGAGCCGGTTTAATTTTGGCCGGTCACCGTCCAATTTCTCCGGAGCGGAGACTACTCTACCTACTATATCTTTACCGAACTCGAGGGCGATATCTCCAATGCCTTCTGGTGGCGTGTCTCCTGGCGACACAGGCTCAAGACGACCGACACCCCTGAACCTGTCTACTCCGTCTGGGTCAGCAGCAGCCAGTCACTCACCCTCCCTGTCCCTCAATTCGGAGTATATATTTGTGACACCTGGTGCTACACCAAACAAGTCTAACCCGAACGCCAATCTCCTGCCAGTGTCTCCCGCTCCCACCGACTACTCTCTCGTACCATCCGTACCTGGTAACGAATACACCAACCCGTCGCCGCAGCCTAGTCCCGCGGGTCTTGAGCGACCGAATGCCCTCGCCCATTATGACCTGCCTCCCCCAAGCCCGCCTCCCAGCGGTCCCCTGCCGGACGTTCCGCAGCACCAGAACGGCCCCAGCGTACCCAAGATCGAGATCAAAGTCCCCAAGGCTGGCCCCCCTTCGTCCTTCCTCGATTTCGAAGCGCAATCGCCCTCCACGTCGCGCAGCACGTCCCCGATGTACTCAGGCGCGCAGCGCGGGCGTACGTCGCCCTTTCCCGTGCAGCCGCTGCTGCCCCCCGAAGAGTCCGCGGAGCTTATCCAGCGGACGAAGTCGCCGACGGTGCGCTCCTCGTCGGCGCTGGGTTACTACCAGAACCGGCCGTCGGAACGGCTGAGGCGCGGGCATAATCTGAGCGAGGACGGCTTGAGGTACCTCGACGAACGGCCGGGGCCGCTCGTGCGGTCGCCGTCAACGATGGCGCGCACGCGTCCCGATGTGTCGAGGGCGCCGGACGTTATGGCGGGTGTCAGTATCAATGTTGAGCAGGCGAGCGAGGCGGACGATGCGGAGTGGGATGATCGTGCGGAGTTGGATGAGGTAATCTCGAGGTTCCAGGACAGTGCGAGGCAGGAGCGTGCGCAGCAGATGGAGCCGAGTATCCCTGCCGGGAGAATTGGCAGCGCGCTCTCGCCACGCTTACGTTCGCCGAATAGCCATGGCAATTCGTCGCCGCAGCCGAGGATCATCGTGGGTCGTGACCCGGGGTACGGGTACGAGCCTGAGGACGAGGAGGAGTACGGGGAGATCGAGGACGAGGATGTGGAGGATGACGACGACAAGTCGTACTACCCCGAAGACGACAAGACCGCTGGACGGAGTACCATGTATATGATGGAGAACGGGGAGGACCTGCGGTATTCGATGTATACGGACGGAGATCGGACGAGCCGGGGCAGCTTCTTGAACGAGGACAAAAGCTGGGACGCAAGGCAGCGGTTCCTACAGCGCGTGGAGGCGCTGTACGAGGATACCGGGAGGGAGAAGCCCAAGCCGCCGCCAGTGCCGAAGCTGGACCCGGCGCTGCGGGCGAAGTTCCAAAATTGAGGTGCCGGCCGCTGTGTTTTGCACTATCTATCTTTTCGCATTTCTTGTTGTATTGTTTATTCCTTAAGCTCACCTCAGTCTCCTTGGCTCTTTGGTACATGTCTACCTGATATCACAGTCTTCACAGACTATACACATTCTCTGCTGCTGGTCTCGCGTCCGTGTTTGCAGATCTGACAACCCGACAACCCCCGTATATAGACGTATGTACTACCTCATATTCGTCTGGTCTTATTCTCCGCATTTCTAGGTATATCATCGTCGCATTTATCATACCCGCTGCGCGTAGGCTTATTTAAAGTGATGCACCGTCGTTCATATGCAGAACTTATAGTTTAGTGTAATCTAGCTACGGTCTCGGTTTCCACTCCAAGAGATTGTGAGGTACAGTGTACTGAAGGCAGCAGTATATTATACAAAGTTGCAACGGAATGGAGAATTTCATTGCATAGCAATAAAGAGCGACAACGTTTCAGGACAAGAGATACCAGGACAAGGTTACTGAAAACAGTGGGTTTGAAAGTAGCTGAAAGCAACGCCCATCGTTGCATGAGCCAATTAGTGCTGGCTGTAGCAATCGCGGCATGTGGTCGTGTTACTAGAGAAGCAGAGCAAATCAGAATCGCTCGAACGAGAGGGACAGTCAACCAACCTCATCGAATCCTCCAAGCAGCAACTTCGGCATACCATCCTTCCACAACCAGGCACTAGAGTTTCTTCGTGGCCTTTATCAAACTTACTCCGGTCCTCGGGCCAGTCTTCCTCTTCGTCGTCTCGGGCTTTCCTTCGTCGTCCGGCCGTCGGGGTGGTCTCATTGTTCCCGTTCATATGCACGCTGCTTAAAGAGAGTGCTGCCCGCCGGGGAGATCGGTCAGGCGTTACCGGCGGCGTAGGCGAGTAGGTGAGGCTAGGAGTGGGTGGCAGAGAAGACGGCGGGCACGCGTTGCATGTGCGGGAGCATATCGTACATGTCGGGGCATGGCACCTGCGCATCACCATCAGACTCCATCAATAGAGAGACAAAGAGCGAGGGGAACCTGGCACATATAATTAAGGGGCATCCGCGAGTATTGAGGGACCGGTGGCACGAGTTGCATGCGAGCGGCTTGCCCGGCCTGATCGCTTCGTGTCCAGCTTCAGCTTCCGGACCTCCCAAACGTTCTTCATGAGTTATGCCAGTATTTGATAGCAGCCGTCTCCTCTTGTTAGGCAGCCTCTTGATTGGGCCTTCAATGGGGTGATTAGAACAGTGTGGCGGGCACGGGAAATAACTGACGAGATGCGGCAAAGCTGGCTGATGAGTCCATCGTCGCCGTCATCGTAGAGAAAGATGTAAACGCGTCAAGTCTACGGTGTCAGTGCCACCTCGAGCAGCGAGCCAGGTCACAGCGGTAGGTGGAAGAGTGAGGACAAGCTTCAAGCCACACGTAGAAGCTCGGCAAGGACCTGCACGGTGATCGAACGGAAGCTTCCGATGCGAGCTGGATACATATCCAAGCATAACGAAAAAAAAATCAAAACAAAACGATTGAAGATGCTCTTCAGATTCTACGGACAGTCCAAGGACAACCTACTGCTATTATCTCATAGGAGAAGACTCCCACCTGTAGCTTGAGCTTCACGCCATACGGGCGCAGACTGGAATTTGCAACAAATCCACGAAAGGAAATGGGATTCCCATAAATGGTTATGTCTCATCATGATAAGTTCAATAACAATCAAGCCACAGTAGATTTGTTCGAACGTTCATGATGATCTGGCAAAGCGCGTCCATGGTCTATCTGTGATACATCGGGCGTTCCAACCCCGCATATGCATTGCTTGGAAGACATCACCCATGTGATGGGATTTAAATAATACAAGAATATATCACTGGCTGTTGTCGACGTCTATACCCAACGCTGAACCACGACGCTATTGACTAGACCCGCCTGCTCTAGGGTCTGGGAGTCATCATCTAGCACGCGATTCGGGAACGTCGTGCCGATCGTGTACGGACGCGCGTTATTCTCCGGCCGGGATCTGAAATAACGCGTGATCAGTGATGGGTACGTGGGTGTAGAATTAGAGGTTACTGACGCGTTGATGAAGTTCCTGATGTCCTTGACCGTGTGCGTCAAGTTCATCCTCGCCACAAGCCTAAAACAGTGTATCAATCAGCAAACCCGACCCTTGCACTGACCACAAAAACCAAGACACACCTAGTCCCATCCGCCAACCGAATCAGCACACTCGTCGTCGGCTTAGTCTGGTCGACCTCAAATCGCGTCTGTATACTCTGCGGCTCGCGGTCCGGGCCCGCAGCGGCACTCCCACTCGCCGCAGTGCTTCCACTAGCGGCTGGGAAGCCCCCAGGCATATTCGACGTGGACGATCCTTCCGCGAGGGGCACGAGCGACGGGATGGGCGAGCCGAGCCGGTGGCCCGAACCTGTGAAGGGGACACCGGGGCGCTTGGGCGGCGGCTGGTAGTCTTCGTTGATGCGCCGCGCGACGCGGAGCTCGACGGGCTGGCCGGGGAGGACGTTCAGGACATGCGGCGGGGCGAGGCTGTCAGTGGGGTCAGAAGAATGGTGGGAACGGAGGAGTCAAGACGTGACGTACCCAGCTTCGATCTGGGCGAGGAGACGCGCTTCCTCGGGGTTGTCGTAGCGGCGGAGCTCGCCGTCTTCGACGCTGAACCCGTCTCGCCAGAAGGTGAGGTGGCGGATTGCCGTCTCGGTCACTATACCGCGGGTCCAGTTCAAGTATCGAATACGCGTACGAGAGAATGAACATACCGTCCTGGGGAGGCGCGTCGGGGTCGGGGATGTACTGGCTCTCGATCTCGTCGCTTCCCAGAGTGTGGCCTCCGCCGACGAAAGTAGTGGGCCGCGAAGGTCCTGCACCGCCCATGCCAATGCTGGGTGTCTGTCCTCCTCTGTGCAGCACGCGTAAGAGCATACGAATGGGTTTTTTTTTTAGGAACACGCACTCAAAAGCCCTCCTCAGAATATTCCGCACGGCGTCTCCACCTGGGATTCCACCTCCAGCCCTGTCCGGGTTCTGCACCGAGATCCCACTGTCCGTCCCATGAGCAGCGGGAATTATAGATACATAGAATCAACTCACCTCCTCTCTCCACCAGCATACCAATCGACCGGACCCTGGTCCTCATCGTCTTCGTCCTCGCCACCAAGCGCGCCTCCCGCCGGGCCAGGCCCCAGCGGCCCGCCCATCCCCCCGCCCATCATCGGCGGCGGCGCTCCCCCTCCACTGCCAACGTCGCGTAAGGTCGCGATGCGAGGGCCGCCCGATGTACGGCTCTGTGGTCTGTGCATGAGTGAGTACATTGCCCTGATCTCAGCTGATCTGCGAGTGCCGGGGCAAGTACCTTGAGTTGGGGGCACTGTTGTCGGAGCTGTTCCAGTCGCCGATTCTGCCTATTCTCGGAGCCATATTCGTTACTCCTGTTCAGTAGTGAGATTGAAGAATAGGTATGGGATGCAGTTTGAAGAGAAACTGCGCGATACGGGTGAGTGCAGTGAGAGCGCCTAAGGCTATAGATGACCCGTCTGTGGTGGCCTGGAAGGACCTCGAATACTTCGGCCTATCAAAGGCTTTCCCCGGAACTGTCTGCGACAAACGGAAGGAGAGTCAAGTCTGCGGGGTTCTGTGGAAGCAGAGACTCGAAGATTTCTGAAGTTATAGCTCTATTCCAAGTTGTCGAGTGGCCTGTAGAATTACTGGGTCCATCAGTTATTTGTTACGAGGTTTTCGGGGGCTTGATAACGTGACAATGTGAAATTAGCCAGGACGCGTCCGAGCGCGTCGCCCATTATTGCACCCATCATCATCGAGCATGGCACGCGCAGGTCCCTCCCGTTCGCAAAGAGCCTCGCAGCCCAGCCAGCCTCAGCGCCCCCGTAGGGGAAGAGACACTCCACGCGATGAGGAAGACTCAGCCGCAAGTGCCGAGGAAGGAGACGAGAATGGGAACGAGGAAATGGAGATAGACGAGGACCTCCACCGAGATAAAGGGGAGAGCGTACGTATTCACCGTCTTCGGAAGATGCTGTAGGTGTCTCAAGGCGATGATATAGGAGATATACAGGAAAGCCAATGACCTCGTGAGGTTGGCGCTTTTCACGGAACATAGGAGGGTGCCGCTTAGGAGAGAGGAGATCAGTAAGAAAGGTGAATGCTGAATGCCGCTTCCTGATGGAATAGTGCCTGACCATTTTTTATAGTCCTGGGATCCAACACGCGTTCGTTTAACGTGGTGATGGAACAGGCGCAGAAGATCTTGAGAAAGACGTTCGGCATGGAACTCGTAGAGCTTCGTTCCCGAGCGGGGCTGGATCAGGAGGAGAACGCGGAGGCAGATGGGGAAGAGCGCACGGGCTTGAAAAAGAAAGGCGCGTCCCTCTGGACTCCTTCTCCGACGGTAGTATTGACATCTTGCATTACAGCTGCGGCTGCTGGATCGAAGACCTATATCTTGCGCTCCGTACTCGACAGCAACCTGATTGAGCTCGCCGCAATTACGGATGCTGCCATTATCGAGGAAGAGATCGTGGACATTCCCGATAATGACGATGACGAGGAGACGTACCGGACATATGGGAGCATTATTTCCTGGAGCAGTGCTGACCAGCTGCAGGCCATTGGCATCCTCTACGTGGTCCTGGCCCTGATCCTCGTGCACGGGAAATCACTCAATGATAGTACGCATCCATATTGTCTATGCTCTTGAACTACTATTGACACGCTGAATCAAGTGGCCCTCCGGGCCTACTTGAAGAAACTCCGCCTCCCTCCAAACGCACCCGTCAACTTCACCCCCACCTCCACACACAAGACTCTCCCGATTGATACCTATCTCTCCCAGCTCGTCCGTCAGGGCTACCTCGACCGACAGCGCGTGGGCGAAAACGCGCAGAAGGGCGGCAAGCGCGGACGCGCGCCGGCGACACAAGCGGGCGAAGACAACGCCGCCATCGAATGGCGCTGGGGCACGCGTGCGCTGAGCGAGGTGGGCGAAGTAGGCATCGCCCGGTTCGTGGCGGAGTTCATGGTGGAAAGGCAGGTCGAAGATGAGGAGGAGGATGGGGAGGAGGACAATGAACGGAGAGCGAGGAAGAGGGAGCAGGAAAATAGGAAGAAGGTAGAGGCTATGGTGAAGGGAATAAAAAGGGCTGCTAATGGGTCGCTGAGCGATGTGAAGTAATGGAGGAGGACTTTTGAGTGTGTAATCCAGGCTCGGTTGGTTACTTTACTTCGATGTATGTTCAGGCTACATCTGTTCTAATTGATGTATTGCGTAGATCATAGGCTTTTGTCTGCTTTCCTGAAAGCCATTACGATGCCTGCAAGTCTACATCATCTCCAAGCGTGCTGCCCACTACAGGATGCTCGATTCTGACCTGAAATATGGCTGCGATGATGGCGGTCGATTTCGACCACGATTGTTGAATTCGGCGGTTATCGGATTACCCTTACAGGGCTTTTTAAATATGCCTGGTCGGCCTACCGGTCATTTCAAGCGTTGAACTAGAACTGTCTGAATTGACATGCTGAACAGGCGACATATCTCGATGCGGTAATGGTGTTACCCAAAAGGGTATCACCGTCATTCGCACACTGTCCAAGTCAGCCACCCCTCCAGACATCACCTCAGACACGGTTGAGATTACAATGTCAACCGCCGTTCGCGAGGGTATATAAGACCCTCTCTCCTGTTCTAACCCCCAAGGCGCGCCTTCACTCCCTCCCACCACCATCTACCTTCGACATTTCACCTCGCACTCGCTTCGCTCGTATACCGCTGGACCGGTCCACGCTGGCGTCGAATTGGGTAAGGGATCTATGGACAGTGGTGTTCATGACAGGTACGTGGGACTGGTGCTGGATTCACTGACCACGGTAGGTAGGCACGTAGGTAGACATCCCCACAGGTTCCTAGCTGGCTATGGATCAAGACCTATTCTCTTGCTGGCTGTGGATCAAGACCTACTGGATAGGCGACTTTCAAGACCTCTGCTCGTCAGTCACACCACACGGGTGCGTCCCTCTCCTCATCGGCTGATGAGAGCGCCGGCTGAGACAAGAGCGTCATTGGTAGTCGCGCCGGTCTACCTTCCGTAAATAGGGCAGCCCTCTGGTAGGGTGATCCGCGTACTACCCTGCGACAGGGGCAACCCATAAAACCCCCAGTGTGCTGCCGGGAGCCAATGCGCTCTGCGGCTCGGAATGGCACGTAAGTGGGGAGGGCGATCCATGTAAGACGCGCCGTGTGGTTGTGCCGGAATGCCGGCGCTGGGCCCATAGAGAGTCAAGGTGAGTCGCACTGTCTTCTCAGTTGATACACGCGGCTGACAACAACATACAGATATCTCGGCAAGTTCAAAGGGGCCCGTAAGTACTCGCTGATCCTGGAAGAAGATATAATACTGACGTGCCTATACGTTCTTCACTAGGGTGAACCGCACGTCCGACGGATGTTCCGGGCAGTTGACCGACATCGTGCTCTACCCCTGCCTTCACTCCCTTCGTGACATGAGCGAAGACGGCAGCGAGTGACATGCCTGCTGGTAGTCAACTTCTTGACTTGACTCCGCAGCGCCGACATTGGCAGGGGAACGGAGCCAGCGGTTTTTTTGGCACTGTCATTGCGTGCCAATGTATTAGACGCAGCCCGAGCGTTCCCTACTAGAAGATCCCTAGCCGCTGTACCCACTACATGGAATAGATTAACTTACATAGAGCGACGCGAAGGCTCGTTCGCGGTTTATCCAGCGGCAGAAAGGCGGATAGTCTAATTATACCGCCAGTGCGACCACACTGAAGCTGGCCCTATCGCTTGATATCAGTCGCTGAACAAGGTGTTCAAATCTACTTCAGCAGTTCTGGCGAAACGGTCGCACATGACCAGTCTGATTCCAATTCCGCACCTTGTCATAGCTGGTCCAACAGAGAACGGGGTATATTCGGCAGTGCGCCTGACGCCCCGGACCGGTCGACGAGATACATATACGAAGTGCACGATAGTGGTTGCAGCAGGTCCCCCTACTGTCATTCCAGGCGATGTCATATCTTAAGGTCGAGGGCACTAAAATCGTCGATGGCGATGGAAAGGAGATTATCCTGCGCGGCGCCGGGCTAGGCGGATGGATGCTGTGAGTCTTGAAGCTAGCGACCCTAGCCTCACCTTGACCTGCCCATAGGATGGAGAATTTCATAACTGGTTATCCTTCAGTCGAGTACCAGGTCCGAGACGCACTAGCAGAAGTCATAGGCCGCCAAAAATCAGAATTCTTCTTCGATAAGGTGCGCACCGTTCCTTTCACTCCACCCCGCGGTATGATTTCTAATTGCGGAGGTCTGGTAGTTCCTCGAATATTTCTTCACCGAGCCGGACGCCCAGTTCTTCAAATCCCTCTCCCTCAATTGCATCCGCATTGCCATCTCCTACCGGCATTTTGAGGACGACATGAACCCACGCGTCCTGAAGCCCGAAGGATTCAAGCACCTCGACCGCGTTATCTCGCTCTGCGCGAAGCAACAGATCTACACCATCATCGACATGCACAGTGCACCCGGCGGCCAGAACGGCGGCTGGCACTGCGACTCGGGGATGCACCTCCCGACCTTCTGGACTCACAAGGATTTCCAAGACAGGTTGATCTGGCTATGGGGTGAGGTAGCCAAGCACTACAGGGATAACCCCTGGATCGCCGGCTACAACCCACTGAATGAGCCCTCCGACGAGAAGCACACCCGGCTGATCGACTTTTACGACCGCGTTTACACCGCGATACGCAAAGAGGACCCAAACCACATCGTGTTCTTCGACGGGAACACGTACGCCATCGACTTCTCGGCGTTCCCGGAGGACGCGAAGGACAGGTGGCCCAATTCCGCGTATGCGATACACGACTATGCGGTGTACGGGTTCCCGAAAGCACCGGAGCCGTACGAAGGGTCTGAAGTGCAGCGAGACAGTATTAGGAAGACGTATCAGCGGAAGCGCTCTTGGATGGACGAGCGCGGCTTGTGTGTGTGGAATGGGGAGTGGGGCCCAGTCTATGCGAGGAAAGACTTTGAAGGCAATGAATGGGAGGAAATCAATGGTAGGCGGATGAAAGTCCTGCGCTACCAGCTAGAGCTCTACAAGAAGGTCAGTATATTCCGGAAAGTCTCTCATCATAATTGACATGCGACTTAAGGACCGATTGAGCTGGTCTATTTGGCTGTACAAGGATATAGGGTTCCAGGGCATGGTGTTTGTCTCGCAAGACACGCCCTACATGCGGTTATTCGAGAAGTTCTTGCAGAAGAAATGGCGGCTCGCCGTCGACGCATGGGGTGCTGATGACCGCCACGTCCGCCACCTATACGATCCCCTGGTGGAGCTGATTGAAAAGGGCGTACCGAATGAGAAGCAACGCAACTTGTACCCGCCCATCTGGGGTCTGGAAGGGCGCGTCACGAGGCTGGCGCGCACCATGCTTTTGGGAGAGTACCTGGTGAAGGAATGGGCAGAGCATTTCACGGGGATGAGTGAGGATGAACTGGACAAGCTCGCGCAGAGCTTCAAGTTCGAGAACTGCATGAAGAGGGAAGGGCTGAATAAGGAGTTGACAGAAAATGCGGAGTAGCTCTGCGTGGTCATGAGTTGTGAGTGATACCTTGACGGTTACTGGAGGGTCTGCAATCTGAGGAGAATGCTGTAGCTACAGTGCTCGCACAAGGATTGTCCATTTATTACATCCACACTTTGCTGTTAATTTGTTCGCACTGGCATTATGTTACACTCTATGTAAGGTGAGCAGTCTGACCCTAACCTTAAGACAGTAGTGTTAGAAGGGACGCACCTCAAAATTGTCACGTCTTCCCCGTATGTCATCCGACCATACTTCGCTTGCGACCTCGCAATCGCACTACGGTCGGGGACGGGTATTCAGTATTTACCATCCTTTGGAATACGACTGGTACTCACCATCATCTAATCGACGCTTTATACCAGTCCACTCTTTGCCCAGTTTCTTTCCATAGGCCTCTAACACTGTCGCAAACAGGGGCTCTGAGTCAGGATGTGTAGATGCGAAGGCGCGCTCAAGCACGTAGAGATCAACTGCCTTGTCTTCCACCAAAGTAGAAGTGTATGCGAGACCGAAGTCTACCAGGAGCTAGCATGGAATAAGTGAATAGGGTGGGCCAGTGTTTTGATAGACCCACGAGCTCGACAGAAGGTGAAATCCCAGGTGAGGTGAGTCGCAGCATCATGTTAGATGTCGTTAAGTCTCCGTGTATCACGTCGGCCAGGTGCATAGTTCCGATCTCCTCCCCGATCATACTCATTAGAGCGGCTGAAGTACGCAGACTGGGTTTGACTGAAAATTCAGAGATGCCAAGCCCCGTACCTGGTGTTAGGCCATTGAAAGACTGAAGCTCATGCACCGTCTCCTCAGCGATAGGCTCATCCTGCGACAGATCCTCGCTCCATTCGGATTCCTCTTCGCCTTCGGCGCCTCCACCTAGCAGTGCTCTCACTGATTTGCCATCGATCCACTCAAAGCCAATGACGCCTTCCGCCGCGTCAACCAAGCGTATACCCGGAACGCGGACACCACTTCTACAAGTCATACCATACGTTAGGGTGCGTTCTTAAGTATAGAGCGTAGGTAGACCTGAGGCATTTGAGTATCGTCCGAGCTTCACCCGCGATGCGGGCTCGAGTCAAAGATGTATCCAAGGTCGGGTGCCGATATTGTTTATGGAATCTGTGCTTGAGGAACACCGGAATCGATCCAGACGTCGAAGATTCGTGCAAGTTCGCCTTGTAGACTTTCTATCGACATCGTTGGCGGAAGTCAAGGTAATGATCTAGGTAGAAGATGCGACCAGACTTGCAGCTTCAGCACCCTGAGATATCGGGATCGCGTTCGCTAAAAGCACCGCAGAAGGTGCTGCTCCAGCCATTTGAACGTCGAGGATAGTCGAAAGAGAGCTCAAGCACAGCTAGAAGTCCTTTAATGCCTGCGTGCCTTCGAAGGACTGATAGACAATGAAGCATAGAGAGCAATCCTAATTTTGGGACGAATATTCTACGTTGGTCCAAAAATAAACTAAAAATAAACAATCTATTCGGTTTGTTGAGGCCGTAAGCAGGACTTCACCGCCATCGTTGCCATCGAAGCTACCACTCTAGAGGGCCAGGGCTTGTTCAGTGCGCTGTTAAGCGCGTTTGCAACGCTCAATACGTGTCTTCGTGCTGGCTGTAAATGGACGTTCCTCCAAGTCCCTCGCGAAGTAGACCAGCAACTCCGAGCAGGAACTCCTCTACATCCTCGGCAGTAGATCTCGGTGGAACACCCACTGGTCTCGCTAACGCAAGCCCGATTTCGCCAGCTTTGGACCCGTCCGATAGCAGGGGCTCGTTTGCAAGGCGGAGGACAAGTTGGGGCAGGGTAGAGCCTGGGCAGGATCCGCTACGTCTTGATTTACCTTCGCTCGAGGACGGAGCGTCCAACTCTAACAGCGCGGGGAAAGGAAGAGTCATGTACGACAGTGGGCATGATGACGACCCTTTTACCTCACCCACGGAAGAACTGCCACGCCTGGGGCACGACTATCCTATCGGCAGTGCGGGCACGCGTTACGGTAACACATACTCGAGCACATACTCCACATCGCAGTCCGGGCCATCGACCGTGTCTCTGATCCCTAACTATCGAAGCTACTCCGGCGGATCTGAGTCGACCGTGGACGGGGCTCGCGAAGATGACGAAGCGCATCTTACTGCCAATATGGCTCGGCAGGGAGCTTCAAGTAATTGGGACGCCAGTGAGGACGCGGACGCGGAGAGATTGGGAAGTGCGGCCCATCGCACGAGGCGAAAAACATTACGGTACAGTGCAAGTCCGTCCCCTCTAAAGCGAGCAGGGACAACGCTGGGTGGGGTATCGCGCAGCCTCCGCCGTGTCTCTCTACGAGTTGTCAATTTCTCGGGCATGGGCGCGGAAGACCGAGTGCGCCTAGCGGACCTAGAGGATGATGATATTGGGAAAGTAAAGAGCAAAGAAGAAGATACAGAGGATCGGTTAAGGATGGAGGACTACCTGAAACAGACTCTGCCACTTAGGGGACGAACACTCGGGTTCTTGAAGGCAAGGAATCCAGTTCGCCTAGCAATGTTCCGTTTCCTTATATCCCCGTGCGTAAAGGCTTGCTGTGTGACCCTTTGTGATGCTGACCTGTGTTAGATGGACGGAACCGTCCGTTCTTGTGCTAATTATCGTGAACGCTATAGTGCTCACGATTCAAGCGTCGCGAACCCTCGTTGTCTCGGGAACGAGCGACAACCCTGGGTCCCCTACCCCTGTCAAGGGTTATTTCCACTCTTGGGAGGACTACGCCCTATTTGGTCTCTTCATCATCTTCACGTATGTTCCAATCATTTCCGCTGACCTCTGTTCCTTACGTGTCTTTTTATTGTACAGACTGGAGGCCTTTGCTCGAATATGTGTATCCGGCCTTCTCTTGGACCCTGAAGTGTCTGTTTCCTCGTTATTCACATCAACCTTTTCCCCACCGACAGATAGCAGTATCTCCGCCTCTGCTCCCAACGGTCCTAGCACAGTAGCATATTCATTATCGCAACCTCAACCCCTCCATCGCGGCAATTCCATCACTCAACGTCTCCAGCGCATTCACTCCAACTTTATACGCCCATTTGCACTTGCACATCATTCGTTCACATACCCACCAAAATCAACCACTCAAGATACCCCTAGAACCCCTCGCCCGAGGTCTGATACGGCGCGATCGACAACTCCCATGCACGAGAAATCTCTATCGCAAGCGCAAACCTTGCATGCTCACATTCGCAACCCGTCCGAACCCAATTTCCTTTCGACATTCCTGCGTTCCGACCGGACGCGCCCTGACACCCTTACCCTCCCGTTCACGCTCAATGTGAACCAAGAACACGACGTAATTAGGCGGAATGTGCCGTACCTCAGGCATAGCTGGGGAAGAATTGACTTCCTAGCTGTTCTGGGATTCTGGATCACCTTTGCCTTGGCTACAACCGGTGTGGAGAGAGGGTCTCATCACATTGGTATTTTCAGAGCAATAAGCGTGCTCAGGACGGCACGGCTTCTTGCTGTAACATCAGGTACTACGGTTAGTGCATGTTTCTGTCGAGGAGGATATTTTACCAGGGACTGATCTCGTCGTTTGATGTCCAGACGATCATGCGTTCTCTCAAGACCGCACGACCACTGCTTGCCGGAGTCGCTTATTTTGTTATTTTCGCGATGGCATTCTTCTCGTAAGTTGGAGGATGATTGTAATCCCTGGTTACTCACCTTGCTGATTGATCTTGCTGAATTCATTCTCACAGAATTGTCGGGGTGGAGACTTTCGCAGGGTCCTTCAAACGCTCTTGTTATCTCCTGGCGGTTCCCGGTGTCTCAGATGAAATCAATCTGGGCCAGGCATGCGGTGCATACATCGATCCCGTCTCTCTGAATGTCACTGGGTTCATACAAGCGAACGGCGAGACTGGGAGAGCAAAGGGGTACGTGTGCCCGTTGGGCCAGGTTTGCAAGGTCTGTGTTCCACGGATGGCCCTTCTTCCCTGTCACTCATCCGATAACAGGAGGGAGATAATCCCGAAGGTGGCATTGAGAACTTCGACACGTTCTATAATGCTGTACTGCAAGTCATAATTGTTGCTTCTGCAAACGGCGTGCGTTCTCATGTTTTAGCAAAGCTCTCGTCTCACTCACGCCGTATATTGACAGTGGTCACCGTTGATGTACTCCGTCATCGATTCGGAATACTTTGCTTCATGTTTCTTCTTCATCGTTTGCATAGTCGTGCTCAACTTTTGGTTAATCAACTTGTTTGTCGCTGTCATTACCAACACCTTCTCAGCTATCCGGGCTAACACCAAGAAGAGCGCCTTCGGAGCCGCACCGTACGTATTCGTTTACTCGTTATCATATATTTACTGACATCGGTCTGCGTAACCAGGCTTGGCCCCGTGGTCGGCGAACAAGACGACGACTGGTCCATGGCAGATGCAAGACGGGCGTCAAAGCGGAATATTCTCAAGGATGTTTACGAATACATCAGATGGTGCTGGGTCGCATTGGCCCTCGCGTCCCTCGTTCTGCAGGCCACACGGACTACCACCGTTGGTCAGACGCACCAGCAAGTTCTGGATAAAGGTGAACTCGCTCTTACCGTTGTATTCGACATCGAGATTGTTATCCGGATCCTCGCGGAGCTGCCCGATTGGCGTGCATTCTTCTCCAGCGGGCAGAATTGGCTGGATACTGTGCTCGCTATTGGCTCGACTGTGATTCAGATCCCGGCGGTGCACGATTCGGCCGTCTATCCTTGGTTAACCATCTTCCAAATCTTGAGGTTCTACAGAGTTATCTTGGAGGTTCCTCGAATGCGGCCCCTTCTCGTACGTGTGTCGCTGTTTGTAAGATGACCACCATTGATTACTCTTCTTTGATAGCTCGCTGTTTTCGGTAACATGTACGGTTTAGCCAACATGACCTTATTTCTCCTCCTGATGAACTATGTCGCTGCTCTCATCGCCGTACAATTGCTGCGCGGTGATATGACCTCTGATATATCCATGAATTTCGGTCAGATCTTCACGTCGTTCCTTGCGGTGTACCAGGTGTTCTCGTCAGAGAATTGGACGGACGTTCTCTACGACTCCACTGAGGCTGAGATACCTCTGGGACAATCGGTTGTGGTCGCCTTGTTCGTGACTGCTTGGATGCTCTTCGCGAACTGTGGGTGTGATATACACCTTCGAAGATGAGTGCTGACTTCTTAACAGTCATTGTTTTCCAGATGTTCATTGCCGTCATCAATGAGAACTTTGATGTCGCGGAGGAAAGTAAGAAGGGCAAACAAGCTTCGAATTACTGGGCAATGCAACAGCCAGAGCCGGCTCGTGCGGGGTGGGTTCGCCGCCTCAACCCATACAGATGGTTGCGTCCAAGTCCTAAGACGATCAAAGTCGACAACCTACCTTCCCACCTAGTTCTTCCTATGCAGAAGTCATTGGTACAGGACCATAGCCTTCCGATCGAAGAAGAGCAGCATCCAGATGTACGCCTTCATTTGAGATTTTGTAGCCTGACGATATGTAACTCTGCAAGCAGGAATTACCCTCTCAACGGCCAGGACGGTCTGGGAACTATTGGCGAACCAAGTTCATATCAATCTTACAAGGGCTCTTCGTTGGGAAACCCGACACCCAGGCAGTGCCCCTGAGTAATCTACGAGGTCCTCGACGGCAGTCCATGATCAATGGGAGCGCCATTGATGATGACACGGATCGCCATCTGTATGTTCTTTGGTGGGCATGTCTGGTTAGGCGCAATCTGATCAGCTTTTCCATTTAGTGAGTTGTTGGCCGTTGTCAATCCCGAGACCGCTGCAGCGGAGGGCATCAGTGAGGCCAGATACGAGCGTAGGGCCATGAAGGCAGATTTCATACGGGATCATCCCACTTACGACAAGACATTCTGGGTCTTCTCTCAGAAGAACATTCTCAGGCGTCTCTGCCAGAGGTTAGTACAACCGGCCAACGGGGAAAGGATATTCGGTTTGCCACCGTCTCCTTTCGCGCATCCCATGTTCCAGCTTTTTCTCCTCCTGGCAGTGATCGCTGGCATTGTTGTCGAAGGCGTGGCATCCCCCGTCTACCGTCGAAACTATTATTTGCAATACGGCCGCATCCGCGGGTCCTGGTTTGACATCGCGGAGACCGCTCTTGGGTTGACTCTTCTTGTCGAATTCCTTGTCAAGGTGGTGGCCGACGGGTTTGTCTTTACCCCGAACGCCTACGTACGCTCGATATGGAACGTCCTGGATCTGATCGTACTTGCGGGAATACTAGTCAATCTGACCACAGGCCTCATTTTTATCGGCGGGCTCAGTCGTTTTACTCGCTCCCTGAAGGCTCTCAGAGCCCTTCGCCTCATCACCCTCATCGAGAACATGCGCAGCACTTTTCAATCACTAATAATCTCGGGCGCGGCACGGATTTTCGATGCTGCTCTGCTGGCCATACTCTACATGATACCTTACGCTGTGTGGGGACTCAACATATTCGCGGGCTTGATGCAAGAGTGCAACGACGGTAACGCGCAAGGTGCTTCTGATTGCAACTACGAATACACGAATAATATCGACGCAGCTGGGGATTCATTTGGATTTCTTGTTCCTCGCGTCTGGGACAACCCTTCCCCGTCCACTACTTTCTCGTTCGATACTTTTCGGGCTTCGCTCCTCATCCTCTTCGAAACTGTGTCCCTCGAAGGATGGATTGACGTGTTGAATTTTGCCACTAGTATCACTGGTCGAGGTCAACAACCGTCCACAAACGCTTCTCAGGTTAACGCTATATTCTTCCTCATCTATAACCTGATGGGTGGAGTTGTCATCCTTACGCTGTTCGTCAGGTATGTGAACGGCTGCAGAGCGCCTGAGCTTGCCTCAACAAACCTCTAACAACGATTGTCCAGCATAATCATCGGCAACTTCAGATCGAAGACAGGCGCTGCACTGTTGACTCAACCTCAGCGAGAGTGGATCGATCTGCAGAAGCTGATTAAGCGCCAGCGACCGTCCAAGAGACCGAAGCAGAAGCCCACCTCTGCCTTTCGTCTATGGTGCTTTGAGCGAGCGGTTCATAAACATGGCTGGTGGTCGAGGATGATGACCATCATATTCGTGGTACATGTCTTTGCTCTGATGTAAGTCCCCTTGATGTCTCTTCGGTTGACGCACTTGTAACGTGCTTTGTGAGATAGGACGCAGACAAACGCTTCGCAGGGAGTAGCACAAGTCTTGCGAGGTGAGTCGGTACCTTTTCCGAGGGATAGCGTACTGAGCATCCGACAGCGTACTGGTTTCTTTTCGCGGCACTGGCGTATAGCATCGACACGGCCGTTCGTCTCATTGGCCTAGGATTCTCAAGTTTCCGGGCCAATGGGTGGAATCTTTTCGACATCATTATCGCTCCGGGGGCGCTCGTCACTGTTTCCATTGTCCTCTTTAGTAATCCGGGCCCCCCAGAATGGATCCAGCAGTTGCAGAGGTTATTCATTGTCTCTATTGCGTTCAAGTTAGTGCAGAGAACGAACAATTTGAACAAACTCTTCAAGACTGCCATGTAAGCCGTGACGCATGAGCGCTCGACTCCGTGACTCACTCCTTACTAGGGCGAGCTTGTCGGTTATCTTGAGTCTGCTTGCACTGTGGCTGGTGCTATTTCTTTTCTTTGCTATACTGTTCTTGGAAGTCTTCAGCCTCACGAAATGGTATTCTGGAGAAAATTGGAACATGAACTACGCTACTATGGGATCAGCACTCGTTATGCTTGCGTTCATGAGTACAGGGTAAAGTCTCGCCAACTGGACCCTTGTATAATGCTGAAAGATATGGATCATTTACAGGGAAGGCTGGAACCAATACATGCATGACTAGTGAGTTCCTGGGCTCGTTCGTATTCACAATCGCTCATATTATATAGTGCGATCGTTTACCCCCAATGCACCAATTCATCTGCTGAAGATCCTGATTCGGACTGTGGCAGCGTCGGCTGGGCCTTTACACTCTTTATTGCGTGGAATCTGCTTAGCATGGTGAGTCTACCCACCGCCCTTGTATGAGGGATAATGACGCATCTCGCTTCTTAGTACATTTTCGTGAACATGTTTACTGGTATATCTGCGTGTATACTTCAGTTACTTCCTCTAATCCGTTCTTGTTAGGTGTTGTCGTTGAGAGCTTTTCGTACGTTTTTCAATCCACGGGAGGAGCCAAGTCGATCACGCGAGAAGAGATGCGTGACTTCAAGAAGGTCTGGGCGAGGTTCGCAAATCAGAAGACTGGATATCTTGAGCGGAGCAACTTTGTACCCTTCTTTGGTGTAAGTTCGATACCTTACCACTCAGGCTCTTATACTGATTAGTACTCTCACCCAGCAATTACGTGGCATATTTGAAGTTCGCATCTATCCGCGCGAGTTCAACTTCAAGGAAATAGCGGCGAAGTGCAAGAGCCATAAAGAATATGATGGCGGCTCTTTGTCTGAGGGCCTCGATCTCGAGAAAGTCAGCAGGATTCTCGATACCATCGATTATTCAGCCATCAGGAGGCGGAGGAGTATCTACAACAGGTTATACCACGAAGCAGTGCTCTTCCACGAGAAAGGGAAGGGCATATCGTTCACGAACATGCTGCTTATGCTCGCCCACCACAAACTCATTGATGATCGCGAAGCTTTAGTGTGCGTGACTCTCAACAATGAAGAGTTTCCTGCGTTGCTAATTGTTTTCCCAGGCTCAAGGACCTTGTGATCCGCACCGAGCAAAACAAACTCGTGTCTGACCTAGTGAACCTTGATAGAGTACAGTCTCTCCTCAGAATGACTACCCTTCGCCGCAGATTCCTTGCGCATAGGGAGAATATGCGGAACATGAGGATGTCCCAACAGGGTACATTTAATCTCTGCCCTTGTGGACCCCGTTGCTGATACGCTTTGTAGACATCCCTGCCATCGTGGTTGATAGCCTTCCAGTAACACCGCCCCCTCTTACCCGAGACATCACTTCTCCCTCCCCTAGTTGGTCACCTACGATATCGCCTGCCCTATCTCCAATGTCCCCTGTTGATGTCTCTTTCGCTCTCGATACAAGCGCTGGAGTGCAACGAAGCCGAAGGATCAGCGACACGAGTATGCTCACTACGGATTCGGGACGCCGTTATTCGTAAGTAGAGCATGCACAGAAGACGCATCCCTCTCATAATTTTGTTTAGGCGAGACATGTCGCTATCAAGAGACTCATATGGGGATGATCCACAGGCTGTACTAACCTCGATACAAAATTCTATCTGGGGAGGCAAGTTGTCCCGAGTGCCTCCTACCCCGCAATGCTGACACCTTCTTCTAGAAATGATGCTGGAGGCAGCCGAAGACGAGACAGAAGACTAATGTACCTTTACTCGCGGACTGTATACTTCCCAACGGCGGACTAACTTATTCATGGGACAACACTCTTTCAAGTAGCATAGAATGTATATGCATATTTATGTAGGACTCAGCACAAGCTGTCATAATAGCATGTATCGTGGACCATCATCAGGTCGAATATGTAGTGAAGAGCGCGATCAGACGCCGCGACCACGTCCTCGCGACGGTCTCCAGACATTCCTCTTTTCGACTGGCTGGAACCCGTCATCTTCCGCAGCAGGTGGTACATCACGGGCGCGAGACATAGGCGTCGAGGGCGTTGGCGGTGTGTCGGCTCCACCACCCGTAGCTACTTTGGCCTTCTCCCTGTCTCGCCATCCACCAGCTTTGCCCAGAGCACCGGGCCGATAAGCGCCTGCAGCTGGGGCAGGACTCTCAGGTCTTGAGGGGACGTTGCCAGCAGCGCTCGCCCGCGTTGGCGTCGGGGGCACGCTGCTGACTGGTGTAGACCTCCGCCATACACCGCCCGTTTCAGCGGCACGAGCTGCAGGAGCAGCCGCAGGGGGAGGCCTATTCCTCTGAGCTGTACGCTCGGCCAAGCGTCTCTCGGCTTCCTCTTCACGCTGCTGCTGCAGTCTCGCCTTCTCCGCGGCCTCCGCGCGTTCAGCTTCGCGGCGTCGTCGTTCCTCGGCCCTCTTCTCCTCCTCTGCCTTCTTTTTGGCTTCCTCCTCAGCCCGTTTGCGTTCCTCTTCTACAAGGAGACGCTCTTCTTCAGCACGACGCTCTGCGGAAGATGTCAGCTATGCAAACAAGAAACGTCATGGTATAACTCACCGGCCTCGCGCTTAGCCTCTTCCTCCTCTTGCTCTCTTCGAATGCGTTCCTCCTCTTCCCAGCGCAGTCGCTCCTCCTCACGGGCCTTGAGCACAGCAGCCCTTCGTTTCGCCTTCTCTTCCTCGATTTTCTTTTGCGCTTTCGCCTGTCTCTTGGCGAACTCCTCGCTTCTCTTCGCCATGATCTCCTCTTTCCTAGCCTGATAATCACCCAACATACGAGACAGACGCTTCTTGGTCTCGAGGTTTTGCAGGTGTGTCTGCTTAGCTGCTTCAAGACGTTGTTGCTGGAGGGCCTCGAACGTCGCGCGGTCAGTAGCCTGCTGCTCCTCGTAATCCTTCGCGAGGAGAGGTCGCTCTTCTTTGCGGTACGCACGCTCGATATGGTCGACGCGCTTGGCGATGACACGCAGCCTCTCGTTGAGCTCCCGCTTCTCCTTCTCGATCTGCTCGACTTGAAGGCGCATGAGATTGTCCGTGCTCAGCTGCTCCATTTGCTGAAACAAAGACAAACAGATCAGAACTATCCTACCCAGAACAGCAGCCGTGCTTACCTCAATGTCCACATTGAGCCTGCCCCTGGCCTTCAGAGATTCCGCCAACTTGCGAGCTTCCTCATTTCTGATATTCTCAATCTCCTTCTTCGCCCTCTCCATCTCCCTCCTCCTCACATCCATCATCGCGCGCTTCGCCTCCTCCTCCTTCTCCCTGCGACTGATAGTCGCGCGCCTGCTCGCCTCCTCCTTCTCCTTCCTCGCCGATAGCTCCGACAGGAGCTCCCTCCTCCGGGTGACCAGCGCCCTACGAATGCGCAGCGCCTCGCGCTCCGCATTCGCCGCCTCCACCAATGCTGCGAACTTCGCCTCCTGCTCCTCCTGCGAGGGCACGGGCGGCGGGTACACCGCGTTGAGCGAGTTGTGCAAGCAGATCGCCATGCGGCTCAGGCGCGTGCGCACCTCGTCCGCATGCGACGGCTGGATCTGCACCTCCTTCGAGAGCGCGGTGCTCGATGCGCCCGGCTCGAAGGCGTCGTCGATGAAGGTGAGGCTGCCCGCTGCGTGGTCGACCTTGACGTTCAGCTCGCCGCGGCGCGCGCAGCCCATCACAAACGCCTCGACCTGGTTCTCGTCGTACACGTGCGAGCCGTCGATGGTCTCGTCGCGCAGCGGCGCGACCAGCTCGAGGAGGTTGTCGATCTTGATGGAGGAGTACACTTGTGAGAGCTGGGCGAGGAGGCGGGAGAGGAGGGCACGCTGGAGGAGGGGGAGGTAGGGAGCGTAGGATGGTTCGTTGGCGAGGGTTTTGAAGAGGGGGGCGACGGTGAAACCGAGAGTTAGGGGGTCAAAGGTCACTTCAAGGACATTATACAGTTCTTTGACGAAGGAAGGGGACAGCTTGAGAGCATTTCTTGATAGCTACTAGGGTGTAAATTCGAGAATGGGGCCGCTAAGTAATCACTCACAGCATCCTTCAGAAGTCCGGTACGGGTAGGCGGCTTCGATAGCCCAATCAGAGCAGCGAGTCTGCTGTTCTTGTTCTTGCCATCCTCCGCACCGTCCTCCTGCAACCCAACCGGCACGGCGAGGGCGCTGACAAGGACTTGACCGGCAAGGCGGCCTAGTTCCTCCTCGCTCTTCCCCCCGGCAGTCATGACGACAGCGTAGTACCGACCCCAAGCGGCGGCATGATACAGGGCATTGCCACTCATCAAAAAGATCCTGGTCAGCTTTTCGTAATAGTTGGCCATGACCGACGGGCGCGGCGCCTTCTTGGCCATGGTGAGCAGGTTGTGGACGTCCTCGACGGACCGGAACGCTTCTTGCCATAGCTCGAGTTCCACTGAGGTGTTCAGTTGAGCGAAGCGGGTGTCGAGGTGGCGTTGCAAAGTTTCTGGGTCTTGCAGGTTGATGGCGTGCGTCTGGTGGGCGTACTTGGCGACGTTGGCTAAGTGCAGTCGTAGAGTCTCGCAAAGCCGGCGGAATTCGACCTTCCGCTGGTGCTTGATGCAGAACTTGAAGGCTTGTTGCGCGATGTGCTGGGACGGAATGAAGAGAGATCACACGGATAGGAAAGGCAGACTGACCTGGTAGATGCCTTCCAATCTGGCATTGTTTTTCAGCGTCTCCAATGCCGTCCGATAACTCTCCCAGAGGAATTTAAGCCAAGGGGTGACAAGCGCCCGATCTGTCCTGTCCTTGCTCTGGTCGCCGCTGACCGCACCCAGCAAGATACTCTCCGGCGTCTCCGTCGCCTCCAGATCGTCCACGTCGGTCAGGGCGACGGCCTTTTCCGCCTTCTCCTGGGCCTCCTGCACCTTGGCGTCCGCTAGCTGGACGAAGCGGTTGATGACGACCTCGATAGATGCGACGTTCGTGTTTTGCGCGATATTCTTGTACTGCATCAGACCCTCCTTCGCGGTGCGCCCCTTGCGCATGTCGACGCAGAGCTCGACAAAGCGGAGCATGATAGGCTCTAACGAGGCCAGCGGCGTCGAGCGAAAGCGCTTCGATTGGAACATCTCGGTCAAGGACTGCAGCGCCGCATGTGTCTGGCCGACGGAGACGAGGCCCTCGGCCTGCTTCAACACCGTCTCAGGCTTTGAGAACGGGGCCATGATGACTGCTGCGACGGGCGTCAGTCCAGGAATCCTTTCCACCAAGCGATAGCGCACAGACCTGTGTGTTACACTACTTTACACGATCGTGAGTGTCGTGCGCGTCGTCGTGAAGCGCTGTATGCGCTGTTAAAGAGTCTGTGTGAGTCGAGCAGCCCGTCCGCGGCACCGCTCTCTGCCTTTGCTTGATGATGGCAGAAATTTACAGTTTAGGACATGCTGACTAAGCATGGTCACGAGACCCGGCGCGTCCTCGAAATTGCCATTTAGCATGGACGCGTCTGAGACAGCGACGGCCGTTGGGCGAACCACTGTCTGTGCGACTCTCCCCACCTACCCTCGTTCGCCTTCAAAACTACTCTGCTATTTGATTAAACGCAAACCGATAATCAAACCAAAGTAGACTCATATGCCCGGGCGTCCTTATCCGCCTATCAAGGCGGGCAAATTCGAGTGCGACTCTGAAGGTTTCAAAGTCAAGGGTCATGAAAGGGCCAGCCAGTCGGTGTGCTCTACATCCAACTCACACGCAAACGTATATCTTATTTCTCCTAAGGACATCGAACATTATCTCGGAATGACCCCTAACTTTACCAAGAAGGGGAACCTGTCTAAGAGGCAGCCGGATCTCACTCGACCAAGGGCCTGGTGGGAAGCCCAGATCGCGTTCTACAACCTCAAAACCGGCAAGTCCATCGCAGCGATGCAGGACATTCTCCGCGCCGCCGTCAACGCGGGCACGCTGTCTGTTCCGCAGGCTACCCTGGACCTGGAAACCAGGATGAAGAGGGAGTACGCGGAACTCAGCGCAAGAGCTGTGGCAGACCAATACGCGGCTTGCACGACTGATGAAGAACGCGTCCACGTAGACGCGGAGCGCTTCCTGCGCGAGACCTTCGATCGCAAGAAAGACCCGCGCGTCGAGCTCTACGTCGTCAAGGGCAGCCAGAGTCTTGATCGTTTTGGTATATATCAAGCAGCGGAGAGACTGATGTTACAGACACGGAAGGCTCACACTACACATACGGACGGGAAAGCGACGTATTGGGTCGTGGTTGGTCGAGACAACTCGAAGGTGTATGGAGAAGCTCTGCGCATCGAATCTGAAGACCGGCGGCGGGCGATCGAAGACTTAGAACAGTCGGAGTGGTTCCAAGCCTGGCAGGAATCGCGAAGGCACGGGCATGAAAGCTCTGACATCGAAGCTGACGAAGAAGGAAGCGAGACTAGTCGAAGTCGTCGAGTGCCGAGTGCTCGGCCTGGTGACGACGAAGACAGCAACGAAGGTGGGGACGACGGTTCCTCCCAGCTCTCCGGAATCCTGGCTGTCGAATCCTCCTCTCAGGATTCTGACGAAGAACTCCTCCCGAGGGCTTCAAGGAAACAATACAGAGCCTGCTTCACCGACGAGCAGCGCGTCACCCTCGACCCGTTCCGCTTCCTGCGCAAGACATTCTACCCCAAGAAAGGCCACGGCCCCTGGGTGGAGCTCTACGTGGTCAAAGGCGGGCCAAAGCTTGACCGGTACAATGTGCGAAGGGCGGCCAAGAAGCTCTTATTGTACACCTTCGATGCGAATGGCTATGATGCTGAGGGCACTCATTGTACGAGCTGGGTCGTGATTGGTAGGGATGAGCGCCAGGTCCGCGAGCACGGCCTGTGGCTCCACGAGGAAGCCCGGAGGAGGGCGACTCAGCAGAGGGCACAGGAGAACGCTTTGGCAAACAGCTCGAAGAGAAGTGCGAGAGACTCTGAAGATGAGGGAAGACCGACCAAACGGGGACGCAAGCGATTAAGTTGGGATTTGGCAGATGAGAGCGGCGAAAGTAACAACGAGAGCGAGGATGGGAGCAGATCTCATTCTCAGTCCTCTGGCCTACGTGAAAGCAGCCAAGAAGAAACAGAGCAGGAAGATGTGGATGAAGACGAGGAAGACGAAGGTGACCTGGAATACACTCGCGACCCTGACCTCAAACCCATCACGAACCGCAAATTCCCCAACGCGCTCGACGTCTCGGGCACCTGGACCATCAGCGCCCCCGCGCTCGCCCGCGAGTGGCCTCACACGTCCGGCAACATGCACTTCAACTTCGCGCTGCATAAGGCCAAGGGCAAGAAGGGCGGAGACATTCTCTTCGCCGAGTTCAACCTCGGCATCCTGGAGGGCATCATGGCGTTCGACAAGCCGCCGACCCCGCAGGTGCTCGAGACTACGTTCCTCTGGCGCGGACGGGAGACGGGCGAGGGCCAGATGCAGATCGCTGGTGACTACAATTGCGGGAAAATCAGCTTTGACAGCGGTAAGACTAAGTTTACCGGTGTCTTCGCGAGCACGTACGGAACCTGGAATATCGAAGGCAGGAGGGTGAACAGCAAGGCTTTCTCTGGCTCGACTTTCAAAGCAGATTATGAAGGTTACACCGAAGATGCTTACGAGGATGAAAGGGTCTCCCGCTGGCACTAAAGTGCATTTCAGTCCGCTTATGAACAAACTCACTAACATATAAACTCGTGCTTTTGCTATTGATTGTACAAATGTAAATCTGCATATAGAGCATAATCCATTAGCGTTATGACTGCACCAACACCATAGTCAAGGCAGTCCACGTCCGAGGGGTATCCAAGCTTCCACATAGATAGACAGACCATACCAGCATCAACCCAACTACAACCCATCTTCACCCGAGTCCCAGTACAAGCCCGACGAGATCCCGCCAGCCCTTCCTCACGCTCACCCTGACCCCGCCCCCGTACTCCTCCGTCAGCCACTCAAGGAACCGCGCGTCAAGGCTGCTCAGCGGGCCGAGCTCGAACGTGAGGATATCCTTCGGGGTGAGCACGATCGACGAGGGGATCGCGTCCGCGTCCGAGCTTGGGACGTACGCCGCGAGGCGCGAGAGCAGGAAGCGCGTGTTCGCATGGAACGTCTGCAGCAGCGCCATCGTCGTGAGCACGTCCCGGTCGTCTGCGCCCGCGGGGACCGTCGTCGAGGACGATGCGTCCTTCCGCTTCTTGTCCTTCATCGTCGCGAGCGACATCCCGCTGTTCCTTCTCATGCTCTTCGGCTTCTTCGCGGATCCCTCGCTAGACTCGCTCGCGGGCCTCCCCTCAATGCCCATGCCCACGTTCCGCACGTAGGTCCCGCTCACAGTCAGGTCATCGTCCCCCTCCAGCCTGACGCTGCCCCAGTTGCTCGGGGCAGAAGAGCCCTCTTGGCCAACAGTGGAATACGACATGGTCGAGTTGTTCCGCCACGCGCCCAACCACAGGCCGGCGCATACGAGGCACACGTCTTCGTAGATTCGCCAGACATCTGTCCACGCAGGCGGGAGCTTCCCGGGAGCCTTGGAGTTCACGCCCTCCGCCCCTGAATGCGAACCTGGTGCACAGCAGGCATGGTGGTGTATTGGGTCCCTGTCCGCCGCATCAATTTCTAGGAGACGATCGATTTCATTCCACTTCGGTCGAAATTCAGCCAGTGTGGAGGACAGCGGCGCAGGCGAAAAAAAGTCTCACCAATTTGACGTCGCTCCAGGTAAATCGTATTGGTGACAGTCTGTGACTCGGTCCCTTCGAGCTCGAAGGCTGGTTGGGGCGTGATACATAGAAAGTCGGTCGTGTCGCTTTGGAAGGAGTGGAAGTCGTTAGATCAATGATGAGGTCGTAATACGAAGGTTTCTCGAGAAATATAGCGTCAGTTGTACCTTGAACGGCAACAGTCAGTGCACCCACATGCCTACCCGCAAACGGCACTCACATGCGATCCACCCTCGTCCTGTCTGACTTTCCTGGTGCAGTTTGTCCAGGTCGTTCAGGGTCACCATTCCTAGGACCTTCACGCCTTCTCGACATCTCCCCCTGAGCCTTCCCGGTCGATCACCCTCGGTATCCACATCGCTATCTACTTGGCTGTCCAAACACATGTCGGCGGCGACCTGGCACAGAATACAGGATGCTTCGACTGGGGGTAGGGTGAAGATCAGAATACGGCGCCGCCCGAAAATATGTTTATACAATGTTAAGGAAGATGGGCCCAGGATACGCAGGAGGTGCGGAAGGTGCATGGTCGGGTGGATACTGTGAAGGTCAGAGGACGGCTGGCAAGTTGGAGTTGAACGGATGCTCGAACAAAGTATCGAGTAACAACCACTCACACCATCGAACTCGTGACTCCAACCGTTCCAGTCCCCTGCGCCTGCCAGATCAACTCGGCGCACCTTCCGCTGCTCGAAGAACGCCCGAGCGGGCTCCCAATCCTCCTCCCTCGGCTCTAGGACACCCCTGTCCTCCAGTACGGAGTATATTCTGTGGACCAGGTCCTTGAGAGCCGCGACATGCCGCCACGGCCGTGGGCGTGCAGATTTGGCAAGCAGGATACCGAGAGAGGACAGGCGGAAGCCGCGGTGACCGTGCTCAGTCGTCTTCCTGCGGCGGAACACACAGACGCCCTGGTGCGAGTCTTTCGAAAAGTAGCTGGACACAATCGTTAATATATGGCTTCTCTCCAACCATGCCAGTTTCACTCACACTACGTCTTCCTCCACTAGATGCAGACCGCTCGGCAGGCAACTGAATTCCACATTCGTGAGGTCCAAGTCTTGGATCGACCGTGAGGAGCGCGCCGCGTGATGACGATGGAGACATACCGTCGCTGGCTCTCAGAGACCAGTCTATGAGACTACCCTTCGTGGGGTGGAATGAGGCGTGAAATATCGCAACTGCGTCCCGTGAGTACTGTAAGTAACGAACACGATATAACTACGCACCGAGATCCTGGGGCACTCGTTGGCTGGACTGCATAGGTGAATGTACAAGGCAGTCGTCGGGGACGATGCCCGTCCGGTACTGAGAGAGGCGAAAGCTAACCTGGTCGCAGTCGGTATGACGCTCGAGGTCACACATCCGTATCGGGTAGCGGCGAGCGTGTCGGTGTGACGGTGACATTCCATGGCTTCCTCCTCGACGTCCCATCCTCAGCAGATTAATGTAGCGGACTTGGACATCTCCCAGCTTGCGGAAGTCAGGACGCAGCTCGAGGAGGTGACATTTTCCACTGTCTTGCGTCGTTTCAAGATATCTAACCTGGAAGCAGGAACTGAATCACCTCACCAGCTCGTTCGCGCAGCTGAAGCAAGCGCAAGCCAAGTTCAAGAACTGCATCGAGAATGTTGGAGAGATCAATCCGAATAACACCGGTGAGGTCCAGCGGTTCTCGGTTTGCGCAGACCATTAATCCTTTTCTCTGCAGGCAAGACGATCCTGGTCCCCTTGACCAATTCGCTCTACGTCCCGGGGAAGCTCTCCGATGTCGAGCATGTCATTGTGGACGTCGGAACAGGATACTACGTCAAAAAGGTGTGTGGTACCCGTCCTATCCGATCTTGCTGCACGTCTTGACGGAGCCGTCGCGTCCGTAGACTCGCCCACAAGCCAAGAAATACTACGAGGCCAAAGTCGACTTCATCCGGGGCAACCTGGAGACGCTGCAGGAGACAATATCGAAGAAGCAGGATAACCTGAACTATGTAATGAATATCATACAGGCAAAGTTGCAGGCGGAGGCTCAGACTGCCGCGAAGAAATCCAAGCCGTAAAGGTCATCATCGATGCCCGATTCTCTGCCTGCCCATGCGAGGCTCTGTCGCGTCGCAACGGCAGTCTGCTGTGAACGCGGAAGCCTGATGTCCAATTCGCGTCTCCTAGTGCGCGTCTTTGTGAGTTCACCAATGGACCAGTGGACGACTGAATCGGAGAATCCTGCTCCCATTCGTACACATCCGGTTCAACATTTGTAGCATATGTCACATTATGATTCAAGCAGATACTCGGTATTCATTCTCTTTACATACCTGGTCAACGTGTGATTGCCACGAAGAATGAAGATCAAAACGACTGATTTTTACAATACGCCGAGAGGGAATCGAACCCCCGCCGCTTGCTTGGAAGGCAAGCATGATAACCACTTCACCATCGGCGTGCCCAAGATTGTCCTCCCATGGTTTATAATTGCCTAACACCACAGACCGGAGCTGATCGGTCCATCGTGCGCCACCAGGACCTCGACGCTCCGCTCACTCTGCGCTTCAGATGTCCACGCTACAGCACTTTGGCAAGGGTGCCCTGCGCGTCGCCAAAAACTACACAAAAGGCTACTCGGACACGCAAGCAAAGGTCCGCGATGCGACGTCCAACGACCCCTGGGGCCCATCGGGCACGCAGATGAACGAGATTGCGCAGCTCACGTATAACCAGTACGCTGTCCCCTGTTTCTGTGAACTCGAATGCGAATCCGAACGGATCGATGGGTGACTATGCAGGAACGACTTTGTGGAGATCATGGAGATGCTGGACAAGCGGCTGAACGACAAGGGCAAGAACTGGCGGCACGTCTTCAAGGTGCGTCCCCTGACCGTGCTGCGCCTGGTGGGTGCGGTTGACGAACGCAGCCGCCGCTAGTCGCTCACGCTGCTCGACTACCTGCTGCACGCGGGCTCGGAGAACGTCGTCATCTACTTCCGCGACAACCTGTACATCATCAAGACGCTCAAGGAGTTCCAGTACGTCGACGAGTACGGCAAGGACCTCGGCGCGAACGTGCGCCAGAAGGCGAAGGACATCACGAACCTCCTGCAGGACGAGGGCCGGCTCAGGGAGGAGCGCCGCTCGCGCGCGCACATGCGCGACCGCATGGTCGGCCGCGCGGGCGAGGAGGAGGACGAGAATACGCGCAGGCGGAGCCGGAGCGTGCCCCCGGCAAGGCGGACGAATAAGGAGGACGAGGATCTGAGACGGGCGCTGGAGGAGAGCAAGCGGATGGCGGAGGAGCAGGCGAAGAAGAGCGCGGAGGACCGGGATCTCGAGCGCGCGATCAAACTGAGCGAGGAGGAGGAGGCGAAGCGGGCCAAGGCGCTGCAGGACGCCAACCAGGCTGCTTTGTTTGACGATCAGAACCAATTGTGCGTACCTTCGACCTTGGGGCTCCCCTATCCGCATTGCATTATTCACTTGGTTATGGCTCTAGGATCCCACCAACGACTACCAACCCCTTCCCCCTCGTCGACCCGAATGCCCAGCAATCGCAGTTCATGACCGGTCTACAGCCTCAGTTCACGCAGCTGCAACCTCAGTTCACGTCGTTCAACCCATGGCAACAGCAAGCACAGCAGGAGGCGATGCAGGCAGAGTACATGCGCCAACAGGCGGAGTGGATGCGTCAACAGCAAGAGGCCGCACAGTTGCAGGCTCAGCAGGAGGAGTGGATGCGTCAGCAGCAATTGTTGCAGATGCAGCAGCAGCAACAACAGCAACTCCAGGCGCAGCAAACGTCGATGCTCATGGCTCAGCCTACAGGCTTTGGGTATGTCCAGCTTCGCTCATTCTCACACAGCAAGCGACGAATTCACGACGCATCCGTAGATCCAACAACCCATTCGCCCCGGCACAGCCCGCGCAGCCCCAGCCGTCCTTCCTCAACACCTCGCAAATATCGTCGCCAGGCCCTCAGGCCAATACGCAAAGCCCCGTCTCTTTCAACCTGGGTGGTACGTACGAGGGCCGCCAAGGCGCCACGAGTGCACCGCCGGGGCCGTCCCAGTCCGCGCCGCCCTCATCATTCCAGCAGCAGTCGCCGCAGCGTAGCCAGACGCGCGCGGACCAGGAGCACGCGCATCTGGCTGGCCTGTTTGCGAATCGCACAGATGATGGGATTGACACGTTCGGGAACACCGGATTGCTTCGGTACGCCTTTTCTTGTGATGTATACGCTATCCCTTCTGGGTCGCTCACCATGCCGTGCTTCATAGGTATGGTCCCTCCGCCGCAGGCAGGATCGTTGCGCAGAAGACGGGTGCGACGAGTAATAACCCTTTCGCGATGCAGCAGCAACAGCAGCAGCAGCAGCAGAGTAATGAGCAGCCGTTCTTCCAGATCTAGCGCCTCGTTCGTATAAAGGAAACCTTCATGTTCTTGTATTCCATTATGTGTTCGAACGTCCTAATATCATAGTTAGCTACGCCTCGGTTTGTCTTACACTACTCATATACCACGCTCTTTTCTATTTCTCTAAGTAATGCGAGGCGGGGAGTGTACAATCTGGGTATTTCAGAACGGACAGATGTGTTGAGACAAACCATTTTGTGTGCCTACCTTCGCTTTGACACCGACGACCTCCTTGCCACAGATCCGTGGCCCGATGTGGCATCGAAGAAGCGCGGATTGCCGTTCCTGGCCATCACGCACATGGGATGACATCATAGTCGGTCAGTGCGGGGTCGCGTACGTGGCTGCGCGTTTATAACGACTGCTCTGCGAGAGAGCACCTCCAATTATTTTCGCTCTTCTATCCATAGCATATTGCCCAAACTGACTGTAACTATTTTCCGTTTATTTACCTTGAGATTGTCTCTGACAAGTCCGCAGGCCAACACCATGTCCACCCGCAAACGCTCGAAAAACCAGCAGTCCGCAAACGCGCCCGCGACGTCCACGGGCAACGTCCGGTCCGCCGAGGACCTCCCGCCGCCGCGCGCGCGCAAGGGCATGAAGCCCGTCAAGCCGCCCGGCTCGAACGTCGACTTCAACACCTTCATCTACCGCATGGGCCTCGTCGGCGTCCTCGTCCTCGCCTTCTACGCATGGCGCCTCTGGGTGTGGAAGGCCGAGGCGGGCGGCTGGTGGAACCTCGCGACGGGCAAGAAGCCGGAGGCGCTGGGCGTGCGCTCGCCGGCCAGTTCGAGCACGGGCGGGATTGACGATGCGCAGCGATGGGCGAAGGGGAGCGGGGGGCAGGGCGTGGTGGAGATCGAGAGCAGGATCGAACAGCTCGCGAGCGCGCTTGGGATGCCGTCCAAGGATCTCGCGAGCGCCATTGCCGGTGCCGTGAGGGACTACGTGCCGCCCGCGACGCTGTCGAGTGTGAGCGCGCAGGCCAAGAAGACGCCTGGAGCTGGCTCCGAGGTTGTCGACGAGCTGCTCGGAGAGCACCACGAGGCGGATAGTGCGACGGAAAAGGTGGCGGGCGGTGTACAGAGCGCGCTGGAGGGACTCGTGGGGATGGACGAACCGCCAGCTATGAGCTAAGGCATAAATGGACAATTTTGACGATGCGAGTGTGGATAATAATGTACTACATCAATGCTACCAATGTTCTTGATTCCACCTTAAGGCTCTAAGAATTACTGTTTCCACCATATAATCATTAACCTTCATTAGCATTCCTCCTCAACCGCCCCCCGCAGGCCCAGCTCCCCCACCGCCCTGCGCATTCCGCTGCATAAACGACTGCAACATCGCCATGCTGACATTTCCCATCGAGTTCCCTCCAAAACCCATGTTCATGTTCATATTCACATTCCCATTCCCGCCACCCTGCTGCTGCTGCTGCTGGGGCATCATACCCCCACCACTCATCCCCATCCCCATGGCCATCGCCTGCATCATATTGAAATTCTGCTGGGCTTGACCCTGTCCCTGAGCGAGCGCCATCGCGGGGTTGAACCCCAAGCCGCCCTGCGCGTTCCCGGGCCCGCCCCCAAGATTGACCGGCAGGCCCTGCATACCTCCCATGAACCCCGGCATGTTACCGTTATTACCCATGCCCGTAAACAGACCCGCATTAAGGTTCGGGTTGGGATTGGGATTGGGATTGCCCATCCCCATCCCCATCCCCATCCCCCCCGCCTGCCCCTCCTGCATCTTCCGCCGCATCGCCTGTTGCTGCACGGCCAGGTCGCGCAGAAACCGCGCGCGCTCCTCCGCGCCCATCTGCGCGAGCCGCGCGAGGACGTGGCGCGGCAGCTTCGCGAGGTCGATGAGCGGCTTCGGCTTGGGAATGTTCGGCTCGCCCGCGCTGCGGAAGAACGCGCCGAAGACCTGCGCGGGGAGCGAGATGAGCAGGAAGTTGAGCGTTTGTGAGGAATCGAGGGGGTGTGTCCAGGAGGCGAGAGAAAACTACAGGACGCGCGGGGTTAGTGGAGAAGGATAAAAGTAGAGAGAGGGAGGCGGGGGCTTACGGCGTTCTTCTGCAGCATGAGCTGGGTGAACATCACGAAGCGGTTCTTGTTCGTGACGGGCTCGCACGGCAGGATCATGCACACGACAGGCCCGATGCCCTTCAAGTACTCTTGCATATCAGACTTTGCGGGCATCGGCATCGGCTTGAGCTTCAGGTTGGTCGGCCAGAACTCAGGCGTCCTGCGCGTAGCCACGTTAGCTTCGTCCCGACCTTGGAGCGATACTGAGAGGAAAGAGTGAACAGTTGTTACTTACAGGTTTGCCTGCGCCTTGATGTCGACCTCTGCGAATACGTCGCCCTGCTGGGACGGCCATGTGAAGTTTCCGTGCCACTGCACCGGCGCGTTCTCCATGCCCGGGGGGAAGCCTGCTGGTCCCTGATTTCCCTGACCTTGAGAAGACTGTTGTTGCTGTTGCTGCTGCTGCTGCTGCTGCTGCTGTTGTTGTTGCTGCTGCTGTTGCTGCTGTCGTTGCTCGAGCAGTTTCTGCATCTGCGCCTGTATCCCGTCCACCTCCATCGGTGGCTGCTGTGGCTGCTGCTGCATCAAGTTCTGCCCCTGCATCAGATGGACACCCATTGGCAGCCCGTTCCCCTGATTGTGGTCCAAATTCTGCATCTGCATCGGCGGCTGCGCGCCCATGCGCATCTGACGCTCCTTCAGCGCCTTCTGGAGCGCCTTCAGCTGCGTGTACTGCATGAGCTTCTGCTGCAGCAGCATGCGCGCCGCCGACAGGTCCTGCGGCTTCTCCTGCTCTAGCGCGGGCAGCCGCGCGCGGATCATCGTCAGGTCGCGCTCCATCGTGCGCAGGCGCTCGTCGACCTGCTCGACGGACATCGTCATGGGGCGCGGCGGTTGCCGCGGCTGAGACTGCGATTGGGTGTCCGGCGGAGGCGCGGGAGCAGGCACGGCTTTAGGCGCGATGGAGGGGGTGGTGGAAGCTACCTTCGGCGGGCTGGCGTTCGCGACGCTCGGGGAGCCTTGGGTTCCGGAGCTGGACAGCCTTGGGCGTTTGGGCTCGGGCGTCGTTGGGGCGTCTCCGGGGCGCTTGGGAGCTTGATAAAGGGGAGATGAGCTCACAGAGACACGAACGAAGCGACGAGATGAACGGACCTCGTGGGGGTATCCCGACTAGTAGGAGTGCGTGTTTACTTTGAGTCGGGAACCATGGGGCGACCTTGTCTCCGGCTTCGACCTGTCCCCCGAGGGCAAGTGTAAGAGAGGAACCCGCCGGATAACAGGGATAATCACCTTGGAATGCAACTCCATAAGCCGTGTAGAAGATTGGGGGAGTAGTATCGCACTCCACTTGATATCTCGCTACAACTCTGTCAGCATCCTCTGCGACCTCAGTAAAGACAAATACGAAATAACACAGCGTACCTCCTTCAACACATCGGGCAACGTACTCCACGTAGTACCGTCTAGGCTCGGGGACTCATTACGCAGCGGTCGTTTGGCACCATCTGGCGGTAGAGCAGCTATGTGAATTATATGTCGTGCTGAGATCGTCGGGAGCGCCTTATCCTGTTTCGGTGGGGATTGGTTGAGGGACTGAGGATGTAGAGGTTTCCGGTCGTGGTTTGATGCCAGTGTCGAGCTTAGCAAATCAAACATCTACCTTCAAGTCAACTATAGAAAACCTGCAAACTCAACGTCGGCAGTACCTCCGTCGCGGCGACCAATGCCTCCAGGACAGCTGCGCCCTTCCCCCCTCCCGATGCCACAGACCCCAATCCGAACTTACGCGGATCATGACTGAGTTCCTTTAATAGGACTTGGAAGGGCGTGAAGAACAACTTGTTGACTATAGGGCTGGGACGGGTGTTTGCGGCGCCATATGTGATGAACGCTAGTCTGCACTGCAGTGTATCGAGCAGCAGGTCAGAGCCTCGTTGCAGATAGATATGACCTGCGAGCAAGCAACGCGCGACCACATATGGGACTCGCAAGCAAGGCCTTGGAAGAACACTTTCCTGGGACGTTACAGGATATCTCGTGTGCCCAGACACAACATCCGTTGCGGGAGGACGATCGCAGGAAAGTGTTCTCCCAACCGGCAGATATCCCTTGCACCATCACGGTCGCCAGATTCCCAGCATGCTTCAGTGGTACAAAGTTGCTGAGCAGAACTCACTTGCTGATTTGGACCCTGCGTGCTCTCGTGAAGACGTTGGAGGATATGGAATAAATAGTGATTGAGGATGTAGTCCCACTCGTGCAGGAGAGCTAGCGAACAGTCCGCCACCACCGCGACGGCCAAGATAGATTCCGACATCAAGCGTAATTGCAGGTTACGTCCTTATAATCATGAGCTAGTTGCCCGTTGGCCTCAGCGTCGACGGTTGGAGTAAGAGGCAAGACGAGATTGCTGATGAATTTGGGCAATTACATAGTAACACCTCCACGGTGACTCGGTCGACGACGCCCGTGATGTACTGACAAGAGCCATTCGCGCAAAGGATATTCGCAGCGTTCCATCTCAAGCTCATGCAATAACATTCGATATCGACGCGGAGGTACAAGCGTAACATACATAATTCTTCATACACGGCAAGGAAAGGATCAGAAAGCAACTGGTGACAGCATAACAAGCAACTGGTGCGGCAAGAGAACAATCGACGAAACATAAAGGTACGGCAAGCGAGTTCAAGTCAGCATACCATGTTCAAACTCCAATTCCTCCATAGCCTTTCTGGTCTCACGAACCCTGGCCTCCTTGAACTCGTCCCACTTCTTCTTGTCCGAGGCGACTTCCGGTGGGAAGTACTGGGCGCGGCCAAAGTCGATGATCCTGAAGCTGGGCTTGGACATCGTGCGCTTCTCCGGGGGCGCCGTCAACGGGCCAGGCTGGACGAGAATGTTCCGCACATAGAACGAGTTCTGCACGAAGTCCGCGAGGTGCAGACGGAGGAGGAGCGAATAGCACTCAGCTCTACATAGCAATTAGCAAGAGGTCTCAAACGCCGATGTATCTGACTCTCACCTCTCATCCAAAGAAAAGTTCTTTGGCTCGATGGGTGACCCACACTCTTCGAGCAACAAAATAGGGCTCCTTTTCTCCCACTCGGCCTTGTGCGGCCCTGCATGCTGCTCGAAGGGCTCATAGTACCCATAGAACTTCGGGACAACAGCCCCAACAGGAACCGGGTATCTTATGGGAGTCACCAGGTTATACCCGCACCACTCCTCTTGCAAATGCTGAGGGAACTTGTCGTATGTCCTCGCCTCATTCCTGATCAACCATCGCGGGTCGTGCGCCGGGAACGCAGTCTTCGCAGCGACAGTAACCATCCCGTTCGGCGAGTGCGCTGACAGCGGCTCGGGGAGCTTCAGAGGCGCGCTGAAGACGTTGGAGTGGTGGCCGACGCCCATCTTGTTCGCGTTCGACAAGTAAAGATGCGCAATGCGCGGATTCGTGTTGTCAAATACGTCCTGCTTGGCAGAGTCGTGTTGAGGAAGGACGCGACGGTATTTGTAGACGCGGTCCGGCGGAGGCTCCGCTTTCTTTCCCTTCCCCTTTTTCTTCGCCGAACTCTTTTCATCGCCGCCTAAGTCGACGTCAGCGCAGTCACTAAAGGGATCTGCCGCTTACTTACCGGTGTACACTCCGGAGTAATATGGATCGTCACTGCCCTTTTCCATCGTAGCATCTTCAGGATCGTGGACCATCAGGACGTCAGGCAGGAACTGCCTCGGGATGAACTCCTCAAGCTTCGGGAGACCCTGCACCGAGAACGGGTTGTCCAAGGGGGAGCCTTGAACCCAAGGCTTATCACGAGTTACATACGCTGCCTTCTCGTCCGAGTCTGAAGCCTTGACGTGAACTTTGGTCGGCTTCTCCGCTGCACCGACAGTGTCGTCCTTCGGGACGGCAAAGAAGATGAACTGACTCTTCGCGGAATCTTCTCCCTCCGGCTTTTCTTCATCAAGTTGCCCGAGCACGTCTCGTATTTTCTTCGGCAAGTCGTCCACAGTGACAGGTTCCTCGGTGTCCGCATCGTCCCCATCAGCCGCTTTGGGCTTGCCTTGAGTTTCTTTCGCCTTCCCTTTGCCCTTGCCCTTTCCTTTCCCTTTCCCCTTGCCACCTTTCTTCGAGGGGGCATTCTGAACCTGCGGCGTCGGGAAAGTGAACTTGACCTCCTTGGACACGATGCCCAGAGTACCGTTGCCATCGATGCGCTTTATGTCGAAGAATGACGACTCCGCGATGCCCGGCTTCGGCGCCTTATCGGGCCTCAGGTATTGCTTCATGAAGAGGTTCAATTCCCGCCGATACTCGGGCGTCGTGCGGTCCTCTACCAGCCGTGCGTACACGGGGGTGGATCGAATGAACTCACGCACGGAGGGAGGAGATGAATTCCAGAGCTTGACTCGACGCTGGGGTGCCCAGAGGTGCGCATAGGGTGTGCCCCACGCGTCGAGAGCAGGCTTGTCATGGTAGTTGGGGATAAGCAGATCACCTTCCTTGTAGTTGAAGCTGCCGTAGGTGACCGAGCGGGATTTATTTTTCTTGGTTTTGTCCTTCTCGAAGGCCTTATCAGTCTGCTCGTTCCCCTCCTTCGCTTCTGCTGCGTCTGCACTCCCTCCCTGCTTCGCTTCTTCGTCCACGTCCATCGGGACTTCCTCCTTCGCAGAATCAGCTTTCTCCTTGCCGTCTTCAACATCTAGTATCTCGGGGAGCTTGTCTTCAATCTTTCCCTCGTTGCTGGGGTCTTCCCGCTTCTCATCAGCCTCGTCCGCCGACGAGATATCCTCATCATGTCCATCTCTCATTCTTCCCAGTTCCTCCATCATGGCTGCGTCTCGCTTCAATGCCTCCTCCTCGCTTTCTTCGTCCGACTCTGTAATCATATCGGCCCACCACTTATGCTCCAAGCTCAACTCAGACGACGGATCGTCCTCATGATCCGATCCCTCGTCGACAATCCCCAGCGGGAGTTTCCCGAGCGTATGGAACTCCAGCGTCCGTGCGATCTCGAGCGGGAGCTTCAGCACGGGCCACGGCCGGCGGGGGCGCGGGCGTGGCTCGGGGACCGGGAACTTGGACTCGTCGTAGTTCTCTCCCAGCTCGCGGATCATGCTGCGCGAGTAGATGGTGACGAGGCCCTTCGCTGCGGGGATGCGCGCGATCCAGTAGAAATCGGCGAGCGAGTGTGCCCAGATGATGTCGTTCGGCGTACGCATCCCGTACGGCGGTGGCCTGGGTAGCTTAGGCCCGTTGGGGTCGCGCTCCCACCAGTGGAAGACGTTGCGCTCGCGTTTCTCCTTCGACAGGTGTTCGGCGGCCATCTTAGAGGTCGAGGCAGACATGGCGGTTGGGATGGTGCTGGGTGGGAGGAAAGAGAGTTGGGAGGCGCTGGCCTAGTCGTCGCTATTTATGTAGGAAAGAACAATGCGCGTAACGAAGTCGACGGTGGCACGAGGTGAGCCACAGATTTGCCACAATCGGACATCTTGAACAGGATCATCTGGAACTTCGAAGCATGGAAATGGCCGAGCAACCACGCATTCACGGTCACGTCACGAAACGCGACGCGCTTTGTCACTCCGTGTGGCTCAGTTGGCCACAAGTGCGGAGCCGGGAGAATGGTGAGATAGATGCGCTACTACATATAGGGTATAGGTTAAGCAGAAGCAACTGAAAAATTCGCCAGCAGAGTTCCTCCCGTATCTTTCCCCTTCATACTCAGTAAGCGAATAAGTCTCCACCCTTCCTGGAGATGGTCAATGCGCGCGCAGAACACAGCCATCTCGTCGTCCGTCCCGAATTCTTCTTCCATAATCAGGATCCTAGCAATGCCAAGTCAGCGAGTTTCAAAGCCTGCAGTCGAAAACGGTAGACGCGCACCGAAGGAATGCCAAATCGTCACTATCGTACTCCCATTCGAAGGTCGCGTCGCTGAACATCACATCGACTCCGGTCTTGAGTATAGACTTACATTTCGTCGTCTTCGAGCGCCACTTCAGTTCGTTGTTCGAAGTGATGAGTTCTGCCCGGATGTACACCGAGACGCTATTCAGCCCTTCTTCGTGCACAGGTACTACCCATATCGTCAGAAGCATTTTCACGCTGGCATGCGCAACATACTCACGGGAGCTAAGCCCAGCAAACTGCCCGGTAATCTTCATCTTCTCGCTCCCCTCAGCCCCCAAGCCAATCAGCCTCTTGGGCTTCAATATCCAGCCATGGCTCCCGACGAACATCGCTTCATTGATCTGCATGCCCTTATCATACGTCTGCCAATTCAGCGAGACAACGTGCGAGCCGTCCCGCCAGAACTGGACCGGGTTCAGATTGCTCGAGTACACCCGCGTGCCGCGCGGGTACACGCGTCGGAGGTGTTTCTGCGAGTGCGCAATCAGGTGGGCGGAGTGCTGCTGGAATAGCCCGCCCAGGCCGGATTCAGATATGTTGATCAGGATATGGCGGGGGTGTAAGAGTTCTGTGGACGGTGCATCTGTTAGACATATACCATCGGCAGCGGGGAGGGGGACTGCTAACCTTCGAAGAGCCAGTTTTTCTTTGGCTTCATGCTATGCGCGTAGACACCTACAGGTTTCCTCTTCACTACCTCAATATTTCGGTATGCAGGAGGGCCGACGTACCCAGAGAACTCAGCGCTTCCGAGATGATAGGATGCTTGTTCTCCCGCTCCTTATCCTTACGGAGACGCATAGCGGCGAGCAACTTGCTCTCGGCGGACTCCGAATCCGACAACGCTGATGAGGAAGAAGAAGACGACGACGAGTATTTCTCCTTATCCTCTCGTCCCGTACCTTTCTCTTCGGGCGGCGGATAATACTCTACCTATCACCTGCGCTCAGCAATGTGGACAAGAGAAGCATAGGAATGCCTCACCATGAGCAGAATCCTTCCCTTCAAATCCCTTGGGCTCACATTCCCGCCCTCCACGCCCTCCAGCTCACTATCTACCAGCTTCTCGCCCCATGCGCCCTTCATGATCTCCACCAGCTCCTCCTGGCCGCCAATACCCACATGGCACTCGAGGCTAACGAACACCGGCCAGTCGTCGGGCTTCACCGCGTCCCCAATTGCAACGCACACGGCCTTGAAGGGGACACTTGAGCTGAAGGTATAGCCATGCGTGACGACGGGGCCCTGTGCGGAGGGCCAGACGTCGATCTCGACTGTGCGCGCCCCACGGGAGAGAACGTGCGTGTAGGAGGCGGTGGAGGAGCGGCCGAGAAGCTGGCGCGAGAGGAGGTAGGTGTTGTGGGATGAGCTGGGCGAACGGACTTTAGTATTTTCGTGTATGGTATCCCGTGGTGGTGCCTCGACGTACGAGATGTAGTAGTATGTCAGCGTGAACGAATCGTCCACTGGTGGAGGGCGGACGATGGGGAGACGAAGAATGTCTTCCACTGACTGTCCAACGGAACTCTCGTGAGCACATATTCAAGCTATGGATAGCCGCGACAACGATCGGGATTCCTTTAGTCCAAGAACAGAATCACATTGATTGAAAGCACGTCGATCGCACCAAAACAAGGCAATTACCAGAACCAGAATGGATCCGGGACAGCTCCCGAGATGGAAGACACAAAGCACCCAAGCTCGTAAGAAAGACAAAACAACTCACCTCTCCCTGCTCCTCCAAAAACAGCACAACGTCCGGACTCAAGCGTACATCATGCTTGTCCGTCCTCGGCGCCTCCGTATTCAGCCCCGTATCCATCCCATACTCATCTGAGAGCTGCCGGAGAAAATCCATGCTCTCCAGCCCGTCCCCCATCGCGATGTGCGCCGTCACGGCTGCAGGCGTGATGCAGGCTTCGCTCGGCGGGGACTTAGGCGTGAGTATGGACGGGGAAGGGGAAATCCGGCTTATCGTGCTCGGTGCAGGCGAGTGGGAAACATAGTCTTCCTCGCCCATGTCGTACGGGAATTGACTTGCTGCCCTTATACGCGGGATAATGGAGGAGGAGAAGGGGCGACGCGTGTATAACCCCGGACTGCAGGGCGCTGTTGTTTCCAACGCGTACGGTTCCCGACATACGGATTAGTGGCATGGTGATGATGAGGGTGCAGAAATAGGGGCTCTCACCGCCACAGCCATCCCATTGTCCGGAGCTAATCATAGACGGCTGTGGCGCCGAGGACGAACTTGAAGGAGCAAATACTGTATGCATCTTCGTACAATATCGTGCATCATAACACGTCTACGATATGAAAATAGATGACAGGCAATTATCTAGTTATCGTCCGCGTCGTCGAGAGCTCGTACTCCTCCGTGACGACCCTGCTCTGCGCGACTACCGTCCGGCTGCTCCCGTCCGTGCTCATCACCCGCGAGTACTTGTCGTGCTCGTTTTCATCGTCGTCCGGGCTGACTGGATGATGCTGGTGAGGCGCTGCCTCTTGGTCGGGGTCGTCGTACGCCGCAGAGAGCTTGCGGAAGTTGAGGACGAGACGGGTGACGGTGACGGTGGTGACGCTCCAGATGAAGCTGAGGTGAAGGGTCGGATACCGAAATCCAATGCTGGGGGAAGGATTGGGTACTTACAACATGCCCAGAAACATTAGGGATATCTGGGGACGATACGTAGCTCAGTCAAACAATGATAGAGGTCAGCAATAGGTGAGGTACTTACTGGCGCGACGAGGGAAAGTACAAGGTTCAGCAACCTCATAACTGTTGCTGCTTGAGCACGCATCACAAAATCAATTCTCACCAAATTTCACGTACTCGTAAGAACCTGCGAAAACACGTCAGTATCAGAGCATGAATCCCACAAGTAAGGGTGGCATTTACTATGAAATATCCCAACCCGTCGCGATAGAGCGAGTAGGTAATCGGAGAAACCATTGGCCTTGACACTGCATTCCAGAGAGTCATGGAGAATACCATGACTTCAAACAGAAGCTGTGTCCGTGATCAAACTCAACCATCCCGCTCGCACTACGAAATGCCATAACACTCACGCCAGGCGCCCAGAGTCCTGCCAGTGGGGGCTTGAAGGTCATCCCGCACATGCGCACCTCTTCGATGAAATAGATCTCGGCTGTGGCGGGCGAAAATTAGCTCTACGCGGAATGTATAACCATGAGGAGGCCTACGCATCCAGTGCACGATCAAGTACGTCGCGCCGACAAACGTCCCCACTTGCGTGACAGCGAAGACGACGAGGCTGATGAGGAGCAGCCGTGCGTTCCGGTCCCAGATCACGGACACTCGGAGTAGAACGATAACTACGGGTGGCACTGAATTTAGGTACTGGTACTGCATTTTGTGAGAGGAAGACTGCACGTACAGTTGCTTATGGCGATGGCGGAGATGCCGATGTAGAGTCCGACCGTGAGCCACCCTTTGCAGCTATGCGGGGGCTCAACACGGATGCAAGTGATCCTGCGAATAAACAACTCACAACTGGTCGAGGTGTCAGTTAATCATACAAGGTGCGAGTCAACAAAACCATAAAACACTGACTTTACGGGAAAGCTCGACGTGACCGAGCCCGCTCATTTCTACAGTGGCACGTTCAGTGGCAATGGAGAGGGCAAGATTATGTATTACGCACGATACGTATGAATGATCATCGCAGCGGTGACTATGTAGCGAAGGATCAAGAAGAGCACCTTCGCGAGGGACCATCTCGCTTTCCAGACGTATTCCACCTCATCGTCGAATGTAAGGGCGTGATCATAGAGCAAGGCCTACAGAAACAAAAAACACACAGTCACTTCGCCGCAACGTATGAACCCCACGGAAAATAAGCAGGATGAACAGGACGTACCACAAGACCCGCAGCTGCGTCCCAGCAGTATTAACGCACAATAAACCCCATTAACGGAATTACCCCGGCTCACCACTCAAGTACCGCGTTGCCTGTATATTCAGCAAGCTAAACTGCGCCTCATCCAGAGCAGACTGCAGCTGCGACGCGTCCATCGCGGCTCCCTCCCACTCAGCAGTGACGGCGCCCTCCGTGCATGGGCGACTAGAGGAGAGAACAACAAAAGCGAGCGCACCACGCAGCAACGCTTTATCGCGCCTCGGTCCCGGCTGGAGACCGGCGGAGGCAAATGGGCCAATCGGCGATCAGAGAAGCAAGGGCGATCTTTGGCGGGATGCGGAGGCCGAGAGCCGGCGGCGCACTAGAAGCCAGGGCACTTTTCATACCCCACGGTCCGTACGAACTTGAATATTTGAGCTTGCATGACATTCATGAAAATCGCGTGGCTTTGACAGGCGTGTATGTCTGTCAATGTGGCGGGCAAGCCACGCCAGGCCTGGCTGTGTCCATTCGTTTGCAACGCATTTGCGGCCGACTGTAAATTTCAGCTCCGTTGCGTGCCTCGGGGGACTCGGTCAGCTATTAACTTGCTTAGAGGCCATATCAGCCATGTCCCCGACAGCACGGTGAGCTGCACTGGCAGGTCATGTACGAGATGTGCTGCCCTATGTACTACTGCACCACATGAATACACCTTGTGCAAGATTTCGGCTCATAATCTCCTGCCTTGCGCTCGAGCCGTCGTTGCCAGAACTACCATACGGCAAGGAATTCGGTCAGAGTAACCGGAGGAATTGTTCTACAGTAACCCAAGGACTCATGCACCCGGCGAACGTGCGCGTACGTAGCATCGGGTTCGCGCACATCACTCTTGTTGTAAATGCCACATCCACAATGCTGCAGACGGGAGCGCAAAAGGACGGAACCTAATGCCATGATCGGCTGCACTGCTTACACAGCCGCACGTCGTGTATCTACCCCGCCAATCCTCTGGCTCCCGCAGCCAATGTGATTATACCAGTCCAAGGAGGCAAAGATCAACGCAGACGCTCCGTCTCGCGTCCCAGTAGACCGCTCTATAAATGATAGTCCGTGATCCCAGGTGCCCGCATCGCCCACACCTTCGCCGCATTCACCGTCTCCTCCCCATCATCTTTCATCTCATACTGCGGCTCGCCCTCCGGCGTCGGCGGATTGCGAAATATCACATTCCGTTTCTAAAAACCATCATCAACGCCTGCCCACTGGAAAGAAAGCAGAAACAACACGCACTATCCCCAAGCTCAAATGGATCCCCGCCGGATCCGGCGTATACGTCTCCAGCTCCTCCTCCTTCACCTCCCTCCCCTCCTGCCTCGCCTTCTCCAGCTTCTGCATATTCTCCGTCACGATCTGCGCCTGGCGGAACCCCGGCCTTGCCTGCTTTGGCCCGCCGTGCTCCGCGACGTCGCCCACCGCGAACACGTTCGGGTGCGCGGGGTCCGCAAGCTGCAGCGTCGGCTTCACCGCGACGCCCCCCGTCTTTGGGGAGAGCGCGTGCGGGGAGAGCGTCTCGAGGAAGGCGGCGACCGGGCGCTGGCCGGTGCTCACGACCTGGGTGCGTATGTTAGTTAGTGTTGAGAAATGGAGAGCGCTGGCAGGGACGTACGGCGAGGTCAGCGGTGACTTTCCGCCCGCTGCTCAGCACGATCTCGAACTCGCGCCCGTCGTTTGAGAAGCCCTCCGCTGGAATCTTGACGCGGTCACCCAGGACAACGTCGATCCCGAGCTCCTTGCAGCGCTCCATGATCAGTTCGTGCATGCGCGGGTGGAACGCGTTCATGAGCCGGTCCCGCGAATGGATGAGCGTGACCGATTTGGCGGGGTATAGATCCTTGATGTCCGTTGCGGTTTCTACAAACCAGAAAAGTGTCAAGAAGGAAGGCTGCATGTGAGAAAATAGACTAGACACACGGACGCCGACAGCACCCCCGCCTATGACGGCTATCTTCCCCGCGTGCTTCACCATCTCCTGCCTCTGCCTCATGCTCTCGATCCCCTCCTTCTTCCCGCTTATGCTCGGCATGTACGTTCCCGTCGCCACCACGAGGTAGTCATACTCGATCGACTTGGGTTCCGAAGACGAAGGGTCCAGGACGTCCTCGTACTCGACTTTCCCCGGGCGGACGGCGGTGACACGCCCGCGCACGAGCCGCGCAGAGTCGGGTGGGCAGCCATGGAAGGCGTTCGTGTAGGGTATGAAGGCTAGATGCTCGTACCCGGGGAGGACGGCGAAGCGTGGGAAGGCAAAGAGGTGCTGTATGAGGGACCGTTAGTGTAGAAGAAAACAGGTAGAGGAAAGCGACTGACATGAAAATGCGAGTTCTTCTCTACTAGGACGACTTTGTGCGAGTTGTGGAAAGCGGCGGTGAGGAACTCGACTGCTTTCAGGCCGACATAGCTTCCGCCAACGACGACGATGTTACGCTTCTCAGAGGCTGCATTCCCGTTCATGGCTGGCTTAGTCGTGTTGTGAAATGCTTTTAGACGTGCAGCGGCCGAGTTATATGAGGATTGTCGGACGACGCGGTGGGGCAGGACGTGGATTCGAGGGCCGCGCTGGAGGCCTGCGAACATGATACAGCCAAGGCCAAGGTGAGCTGTATATAACCGGTGCTATAGCAGGAACAGGCTAAACGGACATTATAAATGGCATGAGGTGCCGAATCTGACGAAGGATTGCGGCAGCACCCAAATATGCGTTCTCAGTCGATGTCGTTGATCGATGCGCAGTCACCGACCAGTCATCTTATCAGATAAAGGCGATGTTCGCGGACATGTGAGTAATCATATCAGATTAGATGATGGCCTTTACGTGGAAAGCACCCACCTGTCCTCGAGTTTCCCCCCTGACAACACGCATACCGCCTCATCGACTCAGAGCCAAGGACCATTTTCTCCGAGTACGATCGCAGTCCTGTCGGCAACTCAGGACTGAGTCCCAAAACCAGGTGATAGCCGCGTACGTATTGTCGAAAGGGCGAATGAAAACCCCAACCCACTAGGCGCAATTGCGGAGGTCATGAGGGGAGTCGGAGACAGAAGTCAAACGGTAGGGACTTACTTACCTCCAGTCAATGGATGCACGAGCCAGAAAGAGAATCTCGCAAAGAGGAATTGAAAGGCACAGGGGTTAGCCAAATGCAAATAGGGGCTGTACTAGCCTGATCATGATGCTACACCACCATGTATAATTAATACTGCTCGCCTCCGTCCACATCACGTCCAAAACGCAGCAGAGAGGCGGGGAGGTGGTGGTGAGAGGGCAAGAGGACGGAGGTTCTTATTCGAACTCCGATGCGAATCGAAAGTACTGAGTACTACAGTCGTTTGCATATGAAACCGAAAATCGGGTTTCCGTGAGCATTGTTTGTTCGAGCCAAATATACCCATATGCAGTAATGTGAGATGGCTTCTTGTGACTGTGTGACTCTGTAGACTGCAGCCCGCCCTCAGGCTGACAAGCATGTGCTGTGTAGTCTGTTGTAGACTCGATCTCGTAGCTCATCAAGGTAGATAGCAGGCTCTCCCTCAATAACTGATCGCACGAAGTTCATATCCTGCATGTCCAGAGTGCGCGGCCGGCCTCGAGGTCTAGCATTCGGGTTGATGACTGTGCCGTATTCCGAGTCCGTGTAGAGTCGGAGAACTTCGAAGACTGTGCTTATGCTGCATCCCGCAAGCTCAGAAATCACTCGGAGTGTCTTGTTTTGCTCATGGCGCCAGACAATGATACGTTCACGTAGTTGTTGAGTGAGGTGAACCATGGTACCAGCCAGTCGATACTTCAAGTTCGAGACGTCGATGAATGCTATCTGACAGTCACGCAGTCACAAGAAGCCATCTCGCATTACTGCATATGGGTATATTTGGTTCGAACAAACAATGCTCACGGAAACCCGATTTTCGGTTTCATATGCAAACGACTGTATCATTGAGGGGGTTCTGCAAATTTTGCAGAACCCCCTCACCCCCTTATATCTCATTCCACACTCAACCAAAAAATGTTGGGTAAGCTCAGGCAGGTATATATACACTAGAATAGACCCTCTGCCAAGTCAGAATGGGAATATCTGCTGTGGTTGAAGAGAG